AACTATATGTAACATCGTTATATTTGTAATTATAAAATATAATAATAACATTTTCCCACTGGGTAAAGACTCATTGCTTCAGCTCATCTATAAAGGCTCCCTTTCGCTTGTCTATAAAGACTCCCTTTCGCTAGTCTCCCTCTCGCTCGTCTATAAAGACTACCTGCTTCAGCTCGTCTATAAAGACTCCCTGCTTCAGCTCGATTCCATTCATAATAATATTAATCATATCCGATTTTGATATTCAGCTCCTTCAGCTCGTCTATAAAGACTCCCTGCTACAGATCGTCTACAAAGATTCCCTCCTTCAGCTCGTCTATAACTACTTCCTTTCGCTCGTCTATAAAGACTCCCTTTCGCTCGTCTATAAAGACTCCCTTTCGCCCTGCCATAAAGACTCCCTGCTTCAACTTCAATTCATTTATAAAGACTCACTTCAGCTCTGGAGAAAGAATCTGTAAAGACTTCTTCCGCTCTCCTATTTAGACTACTCCCTTCTCCAGCTTGTCTATAAAACCATCTTTCCATATTTTAAATCTCCATTTTTTAACCTTGAAATATATGAACGAAGTACAAAATAGATAGATATCTAAAATATTAGTTGAAAAAAAAAGAAATTAAAATTGACCTTGTTTTGTCGTCGTCGTAGTCAAATCCATCAAAAAGTTCTTATCAAATCAAAACAAAAAATCTAACTTTAAATGCACTGAAGCAGGACAAATAATAATAATGAAAAAAGCAAAACCTAACTAAACCACAAGTTGGTCGCACGTAGCCGCCGCCGCCTACTTAACAACTAACAGCGAATCAATTTGGCAGGGCTGCACTTAAAACAAACTGTCCAAAGTGACTAACTAATTGCCTATCTAATAATAACCGATTAAGTCCGACGAATATTTCATGCTTAGTGTAAATTAGAGATTATTTTGGTGTGATAACAAAAAAAATAAAAATCAAATGTGTGAGGTGGTTTTGCGGAGTTCAGGTTAATTTGTAAAGTGTTATTAATTTGTGTAAATTTGTTGTGGTAAACCTTAGATTTTGATTGCTGTTGACTTTTTACATAAAATGACAGGAAATATTTATTTAAAATAATGACCTTTTACAATGTTCGATTAGCGGGCCAATGAACTATGCATTTGAAATTAGAATTCAAATTTTTTATTAATTTTAATTATTTTATAAATAAGAAACCCACAGTGGTTAAAAAATTAAACCCGGTAATCTTAAAAAAATAAATATAAAATGTTACAAATATATATTAATAAATAATAAATATATTAAAAATATAATATAAATTTTTAAAATATGATAATGATTCAAGCTTATCTCATCATTAAATTTCTGATAAAAATTCAAAAGAAAGCAAAATAATGAATTGCAATTTGTTTTCCATTGATCCGCCAAATGATGACTGTGGTGGCTCGGTTTTATTCCAATATTTACAAATAATTTCCGATTACGTGTTATTTGATTTATTTTTCTAATGCAACGAAGACCTGACAGAATCATTTCCATGAAACAAGAATTCCTCATTTGCGATAAAATGAGCCGCATTTTCGAGTCTTGATTTTATTTTAATCGTTTCTAATGTGTAATGAATAAATATTTAATATTCCCAGGCTAGTGGTGGTGGGTTGGGATGTCAACGTCTTGTTGATTTCCATTTAATTAGATTATAATTGTAGAGCTGTTTGTTATTGTTGTCATATCGAAGGTAAATATTTGAAAGAAATACACACATACATACCGCACAGCGAGAGAGAATAATAGAGGCGTGTACTGTTTGCTTGCAAATAATAATTCGCAGTCATCAAAAGATAAGAAGAAATTTAAGACAACATTTTTTGCAAATGTTTGTATATGTGGATGAATTAAAATTAAATATAGAGGTCTGATAAATAGATTTTACAATAAAGATTTTCGAAAATTTTTTTTAACGGCATAGGTTATAACAGTTTTTCGAAGAAACTTGATAAAGCTTCTTCTAACGCTTATAACTACCTATTTCGAAGTCCCTTGGCCGTCGGTATCCAATAGTTCTGAAAAATATACCCTTTATTTAATATAGCGATATTCCAGAGTTCCGAAAAAAGCTTCAAAATGTATGGCTCATAAAGACTATCGCTTATAGCGACCAATTTCGCCGATCCGTCGTTATATTTTCGAATGTACATAGATTGCAGCGATTCCGACTGTAATCTATCTTCATATTCTAATTTTTAAATAATTTATATTCTCTTTTTTTGTAGAAATATTTTTCACATCAAATTGATATGATTTTCTTTTTTTAACCCCGCACCATCACGATAAACTATCGCAATTAACTTGTCAAAATATTGACAATATAATTAGAAACGATACATGCATGCATGTTTAGTTAAATATGTTGCCGGCATAAAATAATTTCATTTAAATTCAATACATTACTTATTGACGTCGCCAAATTAACGCCAATAATTAATACTGAATGGAATTTGAGATAAAAAACACTCCCACCCACATTCAATACCGTTGAAGTACACAAGGTGTTAGTATTTTTTTATATGTAGTTTACTGTGCATCTATCGTTTTGTTTTATTTTTAAAATAATTTTGCTAATTGTTTAATAAATTTGATAATTTGTTTTAATTTCAGCAAGGAATAGACAATATTTTAATGGTGCCGACTATTTAGGTATACAAAGATTTGTTATTGTAATCCACAATAATATTAGGTTGGGGAAAAAGGAATCCATTATTTGTATATGAACTATAGGACTTTATTTAACATGCTTCGAAATGTCCGTTTGGGCCAAATATGTACAGTTTTGTTGTATGATTTGTTGATATTTTAAAGGTAACTTCATAATGCCTCTCTTAAAGAATTGCTGCTCTCTATTTGTAAAAAACTCTAGTAGTCAATTTTCACAATCCTCCGTAGATAGCAATTTTTTATCATTAAAGAAATTTAGCAATGCAAGAAAAAATAATAATCACTTGGTGCCAAGTCCAGACCGTATGGCGGATGCATTAAAACTTCCCAACCAAGCTCCCGAAAATTCTGGCGAGTCACTTTAGATGTGTGTGGCCTGGCCAATTCTGGCAGTTTCTGGTCAATTGCTATCTTCAAACTGTGCAGTTGTTGACAGTAGAGATCAGAATTTAGCGTTTGGCCATATCGAAGCAACTCATAATAAATAATCCCCTTCCAGTTCCACCAAATGCATAGCTAAGCCGTCCTGGCCGTTAGTCTTGGTTTGGCCACCGTTTTAGGTGCTTCACCGCTCTTTTACCACGATCTTTTCGCACAGGAATCAACTCAACAACAGCTGTATCAACCCGTTTTTCCACCAGGTGAGCAAACCATGGCAGCAGCTTTGCTCTTAATCCTGCTTATTATTGCTGGCATCCTGCTATTATTGAGGTCACGATAACGATCGGTTCCGTGTGTCACATTACACAATGGTCGTTCTCTGTACGCCGCCTAACACAACATCGTCTGCAATATCTCCCACCACACCTCCCAACAATAGCCCCAACACTCACAATACATTGCCAATGGCCTCAAAAAGACAAGACCTGCCGAGCGGACAATTCTTCTGGCATGGGATCTGTCCAAAGCGTTCGATACAATCAACCATGCCCCGTTTATTAACGACATATTGAACTCTACATTGCCAAACATAATCAAAAGATGGCTATGTAACTACAAAAACGGCAGGCAGGCATATTTTGAATTCAGGGGACAGAAGTCGAACAGCTGCAAAATAAAAATGGGTGTCCCGCAAGGAGGTGTCATCTCACAATTGCTATTCAACTTCTACTTTCCCCTCCCCTCTAGATGGTATTAAACTCGTCAAGGTGCTCATAACCATCTCTGGTACCGCATGGGGCAAGGACATAACCACATACGAAGCTGTAAGTAAATCTGCCCTTAACTACGATGCCCCAGTTTGGAGTTCGTTCATCACCGATTCGCAATGGAGAATGCTTCAAACCGCACACAATAATGATCTACGCACCGCAACCGGATGTGTCCAGATGACGAGCGTGGATGCATCTGCATCAGGAGGCAAGGATACTGTCAGTGCCGCAACATAATATGTTGCTCGCCAGACAGTTCCAGCTGGCTTACCATCTGCCCACGCATCCCAACCACCATATAGGGGTTCATGATCCATCCCCTCGACACATCCGGAAGGCATCAAGCGATACAGCAACGACACCCAGGTAGTCATTCCATCTGACATCGACCGATTGTCACTAGCTGCATCGCTGAGAACTGTTCACACTCAGGCAGTCCAGCAAGCTGTCAATGAGCATGAACCAAATCGTGTCCTTAATTGTCAACCTCCAGCGGTAGCCGAAGTTGGGAAGACCCTGCCTAGAAGAACCAGAACCATATTAGCGCAGTTTCGGTCAGGATGGCCAGTCATCCTGAATGTGTATCAAGCGAGAGTCGCAGGGATCAAAGACATTTGTCCCACTTGCCCTGCCTGCATGATACAGGTCATTTATGTTCATGTCCACTCCAACCCGCGTATCTTCGTCCCATTGATCTGAGGCCGATAGAAGTGGCGAATTTTTCGCAGCTCCCAACATTAAATTGTATCACCCCTCCCATCAATCTCTTCAATCCACACATAATACAATAACCACTCTCAATTTACCACATTCTCCCACACACATCATTCACATTCAACCCCGCACCTCTAACCAATAGTAGACACATGTTCAATTTGACACTTCTGCTATTGGCTACATTTGGTACTCAACCCCTGGGCTTCAGGGCTTAATTGAAGCACTAAAAAATGAGCATCCCGATAGTAGGTCACAATGTCTTTTCAAAGACAACATAATACGATTTGGCGAATGTGCTTGATGCTCCTCATAGACAAAATTGTATCTTTTTACACAGACAAACCCAAATGACTACATTTTGATCAGGAAAACACATAATTTATAGGGTCGGAAGGATGTAGAATAATCTCCCTATAAATTTACAGATTTAGGGCCATGTCAGCTGTTATCAAGACCACGACAATATATTTTTCAAAGAAAACATATTTATATAAAATAAAGTGATCTACTTACCTCAGTAAAATAGTCAATTGTAAATCATGGGCCATTCTCTCCAAGGCAGGAACACCTTCGACACGAAGTATATTAATTTTCTCCCTTAAAGAACGCGATACATTATTTTGGCCTTGACGTTCACGTAATATTTCTATTATATTGGGTTGACGTAAAAAGGCAATAACCTGAAAATTACCACAAGAAAAATTAACTTTAATTTAAAATAAAAAAATCTCCTTTTAGAAAACTTACCTTTTCATTATAGGCCACTGGAATCTCATGATAACTATTATTAGATGATATTGCACTTGAGGAGCTGGGACCATTATTATAAGATGTGCCAGATGATGACGATGATGTATAATGAGGCATATTATCGTTTTGCATAAATTGACTTTGTCGCGGATTGGTCGTCGTTGACGATGAGGTTGATGTGGGTCTGGGTGGTGGCAGTGGCGGATGTGGACTACCACCGGCGGCAGATATACAATTCCCATCAATGGCATCGAATTGAGAATGATGCAATTGATGTTGATGTGGTGGTGGTTGTCTGTGGCGAATTATCCTTGGACAATCGATGGGCAAACGGGGATCCATAAATGACGTCTGACGATTATTGTGATCGATAAAGAACTGTTTACCTGATTGATCCAGCTTGGTTTCCCAGCTGGAGGGTAAATCACGATTCAGTTGGGCAAATGAATTTACCAAAGCTACCAAATCTTTGTTGTACTGATAACGTTGGAAACACGACGGATCTCTGCGTATACGTATTACCATATGCTTTAGGGCAGTATTGCGATTATAGATGGCCAAGGCATCTTCGTTGGTGTGCAGCATAGAGTAGAAATCAGGACGGCATAGCATAAGAACAGCTGGGTGTACCGACAGAGAGACGTGCTGGAAATTCGATGGTGCACTATGATTGTTGTTGTGCCCCAGGTGAGGATGATGGCTGGAGGAGTTATGTGGAGATTGCGAGGCTTGAGTATTATCGTTGTGGCTAACAGCCGTAGCATTGGAACGATTTTCATTTGTAATGGTTCGTCGGATAGACTGATAACGTCTGTCCAGTTGTTGGCGATGATGTTGTTCACGGCCGCCATGACCGTTGAGTGTGGCCGAACCGTTAGTACCGGGTCTTTGCCATGATGTGGTGCGGGTCGTATGATCTATATAGAAAATACGACCATGGCTATCCATTCTAGCCTCCCATGCCGGAGGTAAAGGTTCAGCAGTGGCAGCATTTATTGTTTGGCCGTCAGCTTCGGCCGAAAATATGGCACTAGTGCGTAAAAGGCCACCTGCTGCACCTCTCTCCGGTATCGAAGGCAAACGTGTGCTGGTGATGTGGACCACACCCAAATCATCTGAGGCATTGCCATCATCATCGTCATTATCGATCACCTCTATTGCGGATGAAGATGTTGTGGCGGCGGCACAGGCAGCTCCCACCAAATGATCGCGTGGACGATCATCGACACTACGATTGTTGGAAGAACCATGGAATGCTGGCGAAGATGGTGGCGTACGTGACGATAAATAATTATAATCTAAATGACTAGCATGGGCTCCAGCAGCTACCGATCCACCACCACTTGGTGGCCCTGTGCCAATATACGTATCGTCGAGATTATTATTCAGGGCAATAGCCGCGGCCGCTGCAGCTGCCTGTTGCTGCATGCGTGCATGACGTCTGGCATGATGTGTCGGAGTGGGTGGACATATGAGATTAGTTGTACCCACACCAGCTCCAACACCACCCACACGTTTCAGCAGCCTCTGCTGAGGACGATTGTGTAAACTGGGAGTGCCCAAATTGGCACTGGCGTTACCACCCACAGCTGACACCTGTTGTTGGTGCTGCTGTTGGCTACTGTTGGTGTTCAACACCTGGGCCTCAGGACTTAATTGAAAATCTAATGGGGAAGCACTACGTGTTGAGCATCCCGATGGTGGGCTACGATGCCTTTTCGGAGACAACATAAGGCGACTTGGCGAATGAGCTTGACGCTCCTCATAGGCAGACTTTCCATTAGACAGGGTCCGAGTCAATGGTCTATGTTGACGTAGCGACGACGCTGCGGACGATGTCGAAGGTGTTTGGGGGAATTGTGTATTCGAGGCATTTTCCTTTGTGGGGAAAGCGGGAAACTCGTAGGTCTCACTTGCGGGCACTTTTTTGGTTGTAATCGTATTTATATAACTATCGGGTCCGATTTTCTTTTTTATTAAAGGCTTAAATTTCATTGCGGGTGGTGAAGGTGTGGCACTCAGTTCATATTGTGGACTGGAATTGGATGAGTTACTGGAATTGGCACTGTTCAGCAAATAAAGTGGAGAATTGTTGGTGCTATTCGAATTGCTTCCATAACCATTGGAACCAATCATGCCACCGGCACCACCCCCATAAATATCAATTGTATCATCCGTGTCCAAAATATCGAATTTGAAAACATCGCCCTGCAAGCGAAAATCTCTCCCCATGGCACGTGGTGGCCATGAACGTTCCAACGGACGATGTTGTGGCTGGCGTAAATGTTTTTGTCGTCTCTGGGTTTGAGCCTCCTTATTGGCACTGGCGGAGGCGTGTAAGGCAGCAGCGGCACCCAATAAGCTTTCGACAGCCGCCGCTTCTTCATCCGCTTCCTCGTCGATGGTAAAGTTTGCTGGACCCACCAGACCTTGACTGCCATCATCTACCTCGAAAACTGTCTCAGCCGGCACGGTTTCATAACATTCACGGGCTATCCATAGATTAAATGAATCCGTTGCCGTTGAAGTTGTTGGTGTTGACGAGGCTGGCGACTTTACACTGGAGCGTTTTTCTTTTTTCCTAGCACCACTTAATGGTGTCGAAGTACCACTTTGTGGTGATAGGGTCCATGATTTGCGTCTGGCACCACCGCCTACACTGCCACCACCATCACTACCGATACTGCCATTATAGGAATTTGTCGGTGACAATGTTGTAGCCGAGGCTGGAGTTTCGCATGACTTCGTCGTCAACAAAGTTTGTTGACGTTGTTTCAGTGCCTGTTCATCTTCGGGGGCCGACGATGTTGTATGTTGATTAATGTGATTGTAATCTTTTAAATCTGAAAATTAAAAAGGTATATATGAATTAGATTTGTTAGATAAAATTTTGTTGGTGATGATCTTAAATTGAATGGGATAGAATTAAAAATAACTTATATTCGGCCGAGTCGAACTTTCTATGTTCTTCACCAAAGGGATGGATTCTCATATTTATTTACAACGTAGCTGCAAACTCTAAATTAGCACGATCATGAGCGTTATATTAATTTGAGAGGCATTTGGTCTTCTTATGTAATATTCATTGAACACCTGTCCCTTTACATTTTTTTGGAACATGCACATGATGCATCAGAAATATTCAACTGTTGCTAACTTATAATATTTAAGAAGACATCTTGAAGATTTCGAAACTCGGAATATAACAAAATATCTTTTTAATAATTTTTTGACATTTATATTAGCTAAATATCCACAACATGTTATTAAAGACGATTTGAAAAAAAAATCAATAGGCAAATCCCCTCTTCTAGTTCCTGGCCTTCGTTAGAATACCTAGATATCTTTCTGAAGACACAGTAATACAGAATGGTAAAATGTAGGACTTTTATCTAGAAGAGGCACTTATGGATGGTCTTCATAGAATACCTCTATTTTAAAGAATCTGACATTTAATTAGCTATGAGCCCACATCATGTTATTAGGGTCGATTTCGATTTTTTCTGTAGGAAGTAATGTTGTAGAGCTCACATTCTGGCTTCTTACTATTGACACAATACCGTGATAAATCTCTAAAGGCTGTCAAAAGCTTAAAGGTCATTCCAAAATTCCTGTAGAATTTCTTCACGGAATACTTCCAGTTTTAAAAATTTGACCTCTTAAAAACCACGACTAGATTTTGGAAGTCGGGTTTGGTTGCCCACTGTCACATCTGTCTCATTTGCGCCAATGCTCCGACCGAATATAAAGATAAACAGACCAAAGACATATTTTACGAGCGCCTATAAAACGGTATATTACCAATGCCCTGGCCATGACATTAAAATTCTGCTAGGAGATTTAATGCAAAAATCGGAAGGGAAAATATGTTTGGTCCCACCGTCTGAAAATTCAGCCTCTATGTAGAAACATCCGATAGTGGCAGTGAAGAAGATACCCCAGAACCAATAAGTATTTACGGTATAGAGCGTATATAAATGTCAGCAATTAAATTAGGAAAGGACCCCTCAGAGCCCTTCAATACCGAACGAGGATTCAGACAAAGTGACAGTTGGTCGTGTGACCTGTTTAACATCCTGCTGGAAAAGGTCATACGAGATGCAAATGTGAACAGAAATGGTACTCTGTACACCAAACAACTCATGCTACTCGCCTACTCCGACGACATCGACATAATGGGCCGAACATTGCGATCGGTAACAGTCTGCCAAAGTGGGACTGGTAGTAAATGGCGAAAAGACCAAGCTGATGGTATCAACACACAATTTTATATACCTCGGTACCGCTATAAATAAAACAAATAACATCAGTTTTGAAATCCGGAGGAGAATAGTGTTGGCCAACAGATGCTACTATAATCTTAGTTAGCAAACTCAAAAGCAAAACCACCTCTCGCCAGACCAAACTCATTACAAGACGCTGATATTACCCATGCTGTTGTATGGATCTGAAGCATGGGTACTTGCGCAAGCAGCTGAGGCAGCTCTTGGAGTGTTTGAGAGAAAAAATTTCCGGAAGATCTAAGGGCCAATCTGCGTTGACGGTGAATATGGCCATCGAATGAACCATGATTTGTACCAGCTATTCTCGGACATCGTCATTGTTAGACGTATTGAACTGCAGCGACTACGTTGGCTAGGTCATGTTGTGAGAATGGATGAAGATGCCCAGCCGAAAAGGCATATAAAAGCGAACCTGTTGATGGATCACGCAGAAGGGGAAGGCCACGAATAAGATGGAAAAATCAAATATAATACAACATCTACGAAAATGGCCTTTCAAATTGGATGAGATGCGCACAAGACAGCTAAGTAAAGTACAGCTTATCTTCTTAGAACATAACTTTCCTAGTCAAAAAATTTTTCTTAAATCCTATCCAAATTATCTTTATTTTATTGACAACTACTACCAACATGACAGACCAACCGACGATAATAAGAAACTAAAATTAACACAACAAAGAAAGAACAATAAAAATTCGGATTATTATTAATTACAATAAAAAACTTACTTCTTCCTCGTTTTTTGCGTAAAACTACTAACGGCTCCTCGTCACCACCCTCGATACGAAACTCCTGCTCTGGTTGTTGAACCTTTTGAACCCTAATGAGATCATTGTCGAACGGCGACGATGACAATGGGGATGAATAGCCCACATTTACATCATTAAGAATGTTGGATGTGGATAGACCAACAGCTCCTTCACACTCATCCTCATCCAAAACAATAGCATTGGCTCGTGATGGTAAACTGTGTTGTTGAGTATTGAGTTTTTTCACATCCATGCTATGTGGCAGTTGTTTGGTGGTATCTTCATCATATTCGCCGCCTTCAATATGTATTGAAGCTGCGCCACCAGCACCATCAGCAGCATAATTTGTTGTTTCTAGTTTTTGTTGTTGTTGTGCTGTAGCTTCTGTTGTCATGACATCATTCACTATTTTCATTGTATTCCCATCAAATGTCAAAACAAGTTCCGGTTCACCACCGGTAGCTTCATAAAATGTTTGATTATTCTCATCTTCGCCATCGTCATCGCCATCGTGGTCATTAGTATTGACAGCAATAATATTCGAGTCCGCAGCATCTAAATAAATATTTTCTTCTTCTTTTAGGTTTTTGTTATTAATTTCATTTTTATTAATGAAAAAATTATTGATTTTCAAAGGCGAAGAGTTTTGCGATGACGAGGATGGCGTTGTGGTTGTTCTTGTTTCTTTGTTTACATGAATTGGTTGTTGTTGCTGTTTAATATTGCTGCTACTGTATGATTGCGCAGTTGCTGCTGCCACGGCATTGCTACTGTCATTGCTCTTTTGCATGCTTTGCTGTTGTTGTTGATGTTTGTTGTTTTCATTGGCTTCTGTGTTGTTGTCTGGAAATTCGTCATCACCACTTGTTGCCGGTGGCGGAAATTGATGGCCAACGCCACCAACAGTATCTCCACCACCACCTTCAGCCATTTCTACGATTTCTCTGTGACAGTCGTCCATACTACAACCACACAACAATGACACGTTTGTTCATCCATGCATGTCCCGTCGTGCAATTTAATTTTTCACTACTACAATAACATTAAAAATAGTCTATTTATTAACACTTTGCCGGTCATTATTTTCCTTTTTCATACATTTTCTTTTTGTTGTTTTTATTTATTTGTTTCGCAGGCCTTTTTTTGTTTATTTTCTAATTTTGTCGTTTTTGTTTTGCTACCATTATTCCATTGTGTATCACTCTCACTACCCTGCTATGCGTGTGTGGGGGTCGGTCTCAATTTTTCACTTGTTTTTCTCTGCTGTTCTGCTGCTGCTCCACTTTAGATTTATAGATTTTTTCGCTGACCCTCCTCTTCTGTTGTGACAAGCCCCACAAATCATAATTTTTCTCAATTAAATTTCGGTCAATAAAATATTTAATTTATACAAAATAATTTCAAATTCATTTCTTCTTATAAATCGCAGCATTTCCTATGACAATTGCCACGAATATTCATTGGTATTTCATTTTTTCAATTAACATTCTCAGACGTCGATACGTCGACAAATCTATTCCGTCGTTGTCATCATAAAGTCCACGAATTAAATGTGAATTTTCCAAGCAAAATAATCGAATTTCTGTTATATTTTTTAAAGAATTCCATACTCTGCTATGTTATCTTCATTTTTATAGCAATTTTAATTGAATTGGTTTAGATTAAACCACGATTTTTACAATTTTTTCACAATTTTCACTCCGACACTCAGTGTTTTACCCGTTTTAATTAGCGTAGAATTGCAAATTCAATGGATCAGTGACGCACGTATCGTAATGTTGTCAAATAGAACAGCTGATTGTACAATTACATGGAATTAGTGGAGGACGTAACGCAAAGCTTATTGTCATTAGAGAGAAAGAGTGAGAGAGTTGCCGTTTCAAACAATAGGTGTGTCTGGTTACTTTTCCAGTAACATTTATTCAGTAAGTTCTAGTTCAGAGAGTAAGCCGTTTTTACTCTCTTTTGCGACAATACAGAAAAAAGTAAACAGCAACATTTAGTAAGTCCGCTTTTCCACAGGCAGATTTTTATTTGGCAAATTTTTTGTTTTCTCTTTTGAAATTTTCGCTTGCTTTTCCATTAGCAAATTTTTCTTTGCCAAATTTGCGAATCAAAATACAAAAGAAAGAAAAAAACGTCAAAAGTGTTTGCATTTTAAAGATTTTTTAATATTTTATTTATTTTTTATATATTTTATTATATAAATTGCAAAAATTAAAAATTAAATTTCACTTGCAAAAATTAAAGCAACAGGTTTGTAAACAAAAGCCGACTGTGTGTCAGTAAAGCGAATAGGTTGAAAAGGAAATGTCAACAAAATTGTTTCAACGAACAGAGCAAATCAGAATTTGCGTGTACGGCAAATTCTGAACAGGCAAATTTTTGTTTTTCTTCCTCTCGCCTACAAACTCAGTATTTGCCAAATAAAAATTTGCCTGTGGAAAAGCAGACTAAGATTTAGCAAATAAACAGCTGATTCAAGAAAACATTTTATTTGCGTCAAAATAACCAAAAAACAAAGGACGAACACAATTATTTGTATTGAATTTATTATTAAAAATAAAATAAACAATAAAGGAAAATTGATTTGGTATGTTCCCGGGAACATTGAAGCCTTCTACATCAATACATAGCCATCTTGCCTAAAATATATAAGGAATTACTTTCTAATTTAATGAAACTTTGCATTACTTACAAATTTTCTTTCATCTTCTGTAATTTTTATAGAACTTAACTTGAAATTGGACTTTGCAAATTAAAAATGTTTTGAATAATTTTTGTGTTTGGTCACAAAACAGCTGATCCGAAATTGGCTGAGTTTGCAAAATCTTACTGAATAAAATTCTTTCAGTAAACTCCAGTAAGTTTGTTGTTGTTCAACTGTCAAACTTGCTCTCTGACTTGACTGTCTTTTACTGGGTTTTTTGGTAAACAGACAACATTTAGTAACAATTGTTACCAAATATCAAGTAAAGAGACAGAGCTAATGTCATATGGAATGGGAAATTAATTAGCCCAAACAAATTAAAAAGTCGTTTAGTTCAATCGGATTCAAAAATCTCACATCGATCAGGACACAAACACTCACGGCTGAAAACATGTGGGAATTTCTCAAAATTCAGAAAATTGGGGTACGGTTATATTAAGGAAAAGGAATATTCATCAGATAATCTCCAATTGCTGATGACAGAATCATCTAGATATGAGAGGATTAAGTCAATGACCTCTATCCCTAATTTTAAAGGTCGGTTTATAATGTGTTACCAAGCCACTGTAAAAACACGTTGGCAATACAAATTACAAGTGTTGCCAAACACTACAATTTTCTGTAATTTTTTAACAGCTGATTTCCACTTTTCACGTTCCATTAACATCTTTCTCTACCAAATATCGGTCATTATGTATGACACTCATTCGTAAACACAACAGCATTTTGTTTTGAGTTTCTTCTTTATCTTTATTTATCTCTTATTCCTTGCCGCCTACACCTTATTCACAGCATGTGGAACGTTTTTAAATGCGCTTGGTTCACAAAAATATTCGAAGCATCACGGCCAACTTCGCTTGATTTTGATTGGTTTTTAATTGAATCGATTGTTTGATTGAATTTTGTGCCAAAAGTATTGAAAATATCAACAAATTTTTCCAATAAGAATCAAAGGTAATATAATTCAATTAAATTTATATATGTATATTGTTTTAAATAATTTTTATATAGAATGTATTTAGATTTCTGCAAGCAAGTTTTGGCGGTTGTAATTGTATTCTTTGATTAATTATCCTTCAATGTTTTGATATATGTAGTATCAAGCACACAAGAAGACATCTTGTAATAATAATTGTTTGAATATTAGAACTTTGCAATTAAACGGGAAAATAACGTCCGTCCCATTGGTCTCTATACCGGCAATTGTACATTATTTTCTAAACCGTCGCTAGCAATTGCCGGTCAATTCACAGGAATGTGGTGGTGGCCACACGTGCTGTATGTGCAGTTATATCAACTGGATTGATTCATATGTTATCCAATTACATACATACGTTAATATATACAGTATATATATATATACTGTATATATCTATAAGAATCAATTGCTATTCTACTTATTGCAAATATTGTATAGATTAGGTTTCCATTGCAGATTTCAAATTGCTGACAACCAGTAACATTCGGGGAAGTACAAGAAAAATCTAGGGACTCAAATTAAAAGTACATTTTATTTGAAGACCTCCACCATAACATTGGTCGAAGATCGTATAAAGTATATAATAAATAAGTGTAAAATTCTTCATCGACACTTCAGAGCCGCTTGGCTATCCACAAAGATAGTCACCGGTTCAACGATCTCTGCATCCAGACTTTTTATCAATTCCGAATATTGAGATTCCATTTGTAGGGTATTATGTCTTTGTGCACATGTTTGTAACAGGCAAAAGGAAACAAGACAGACCCATGGTTCCTTTTGAGAATATGCATAGAATCTCTTTCTGAGTCGATTTGTGCATGACCGCCCGTCTGTTGATGTTAAATTGTAAACAAAGTACATGTCGCATTTATCATCCGATTTGAACGAAATTTTGCACAGGTCATTTATTTGGTCCATGGACGAACCCTATCGAAATTCGGAAAAATCGATTCAGATTTAGATATAGGTCCCATATATAATTTCGTCCGATTTAAGGTAAATGGTGCACCAAAATCCCTATATATCTTTCGATATGCACGAAATTTGGTGCAGCGCACTAAATTAAGTCTAAAATGATGTGTGTTAAGTTTCGTAAATATCGGTTCAGATTTAGATATAGCTCCCATATATATTTTCGTCCGATTTAAAGTAAATGGTGCACCAAAGTTCCTAAATATCTTTCGACATCCACAAAATTGGCATAGCGTATTGAATTGAGTCTATAATGATATGTGCTAAGTTTCGAGGAAATCGGGTAAGATTTAGATATAGCTCCCATATAGATTTTCGTCCGATGGTGCGCCAAAGTTCCTAAATATCTTTCGATATACACGAAATTTGGCATAGCGTATTGAATTGAGTCAATAATAATGTGCTAATTTTCTTGAATATCGGTTCAGATTTAGATATAGCTCCCATATATATTTTCGTCCGATTTAAAGTAAATGGTTCGCCAAAGTTCCTAAAAATCTTTCGATATGCACGAAATTTGGCATAGCGTATTGAATTGAGTCTATAATGATGTGTGCTAAGTTTCGTGAAAATCGTTCAGATTTAGATGTAGCTCCTATAGATATTTTCGTCCGATTTTATGTAAATGGCGCGCCAACGTTGTTATATATATTTCGTTCAATTTCATGTCAGTGTTCTTTCGAAAAGGCGACGTCTGTTAGGAGACTATGTACAATGTACCCAAAATGATGAACGACATCATATAGTCGGCCCAGTCCGACTTTATTACTGGTTAGCCAATTGGATATTGAATTTCTGCACCCAGGCTGCTTAAACCATCTGCCGGCTTTTTCGCAGTAAATATAGCGGACATTGCCAAACACGATTATATTGTATTCGATTTTCTTTTCTCTTTCTGAGTCGATTTGTGCATGACCGCCCGTCTGTTGATGTTAAATTGTAAACAAAGTACATGTCGCATTTATCATCCGATTTGAACGAAATTTTGCACAGGTCATTTATTTGGTCCATGGACGAACCCTATCGAAATTCGGAAAAATCGATTCAGATTTAGATATAGGTCCCATATATAATTTCGTCCGATTTAAGGTAAATGGTGCACCAAAATCCCTATATATCTTTCGATATGCACGAAATTTGGTGCAGCGCACTAAATTAAGTCTAAAATGATGTGTGTTAAGTTTCGTAAATATCGGTTCAGATTTAGATATAGCTCCCATATATATTTTCGTCCGATTTAAAGTAAATGGTGCACCAAAGTTCCTAAATATCTTTCGACATCCACAAAATTGGCATAGCGTATTGAATTGAGTCTATAATGATATGTGCTAAGTTTCGAGGAAATCGGGTAAGATTTAGATATAGCTCCCATATAGATTTTCGTCCGATGGTGCGCCAAAGTTCCTAAATATCTTTCGATATACACGAAATTTGGCATAGCGTATTGAATTGAGTCAATAATAATGTGCTAATTTTCTTGAATATCGGTTCAGATTTAGATATAGCTCCCATATATATTTTCGTCCGATTTAAAGTAAATGGTTCGCCAAAGTTCCTAAAAATCTTTCGATATGCACGAAATTTGGCATAGCGTATTGAATTGAGTCTATAATGATGTGTGCTAAGTTTCGTGAAAATCGTTCAGATTTAGATGTAGCTCCTATAGATATTTTCGTCCGATTTTATGTAAATGGCGCGCCAACGTTGTTATATATATTTCGTTCAATTTCATGTCAGTGTTCTTTCGAAAAGGCGACGTCTGTTAGGAGACTATGTACAATGTACCCAAAATGATGAACGACATCATATAGTCGGCCCAGTCCGACTTTATTACTGGTTAGCCAATTGGATATTGAATTTCTGCACCCAGGCTGCTTAAACCATCTGCCGGCTTTTTCGCAGTAAATATAGCGGACATTGCCAAACACGATTATATTGTATTCGATTTTCAAATGTTCGTCCCTCTGTCTGGTGCGCAACAATCTCGGAGTTTATGCAAAGAGCCTTATTGACGCTAATATGTTGCGCCAAGGCTAACGGCCTTGGTGTAAACCCAACAAAGACGGAACTGGTAATGTTAACAATGAAGCTCGTAATCGCGGCTTCTTTGCTCCAATAACACTAGATGGAGTGCAGCTTCATCTTTCACCCGAAGCAAAGTACCTTGGCACAATACTGGACTGTCAATTACGATGGAACAGGAACGCTGAGGAACGGGCGAAGAGGGGGCTGATTGCACTCTATGCATGTAAAAATTCCATTGGGAAATGTTGGGGGCTAAAATCATCGACTGCACACTGGTTGTATAACACCGTGGTAAGGCCCACCTCTCCAATGGTTCTCTTGTTTGGTGACAATGCTTGCGCCACATTTTCGTCCGATTACTTACTTACAGCTATCGGCTGTGTTGGGTACCAGGACACCGTGACATCATGGGTAATGAAAGGGCAGACGAATTAGTTAGACGAGGCTCAATAAAACCACCCATCTGTTATCTTTATCGGAACATTGATGCGCTCTTCGACGAAAGAGCCTATAAACTTTGGCACAACGAACCTAAGTGCAATGTATCAATATCTATTTGGCCGACTGTGTCTACCAAAAGGACACACAATCACTGTTAAACCTGAGCAAAGCTGAAATAAGAGTAATGACAGAAATTATTACAGGTCATTGCAATACCATGGCATTTACCAGTAAATGGGACCATGATGTTACTGTAGACTCTGCGTTGACGAGGAGGAGACGGAGACAATTGAGCATATCCTATGTCGCTACCCCGTCCTGGCCTACAGACGGCACAAACTAGTGGTTGCTCACTTTCCACCGAGTCTTAGTTTCTTCTCAACAACGTAACCTGCTCTAATCTACAGCATCAGTAGAAACCTAAAGTGGTTGGGAAAGTGCAACCTTGGCACGTAATATATCATCTTACCTTCTCACAGAAGCTTCTCATCTCTCTCTCTTCCCATAGATCTCTCCATATATTTTTCTTTCTTTTCTTCTTTCTTCTTTTTGTGGATGATCACAATGGACCTGACGGTCTCAGAGCAGCCACATTAGTGACTGCACATCCCCAAACCTAACCTAACTACATACAGTGGTGGCCACAGAATTAAAACATTTACTGTGGTAAACATTTTTTGTCCGAACTCTATAGCCATCGATGCTATCTGATACTTACCTTCTCACACTTCCTTGTAAGCTTCTCATCTCTCTTCTCTTCCCATAGATCTCTCCATATATTTTTCTTTTCGTGAATGATCACAATGGACCTGACGGTCTCAGAGTGCTGCACCCACATTAGTGACTACTCATCTCCAAACCTAACCTAACTACATACATACTTAATTTTATATCGTAAATATTTTTTTCTAGCCATTCCTCTTGGGATAAACCCCCAAGTGAAGAAATATCTGAAGATGGACACAACGAATATTGAAAATGGTGACCATACGGTTGCTATAACCCATTTCATTAATCCTCACCTTTTTTGGTATCGTAAAATTGGCGGACCAGATGACAATTTTCATGCCCTGTCCACAATGGAGGAGAGACTTCAAATTCTCTATCGCGGTAAACCGGCCACAGACCGTTGTCGCCTTGTCGTGGGCGATATAGTCGCCGTGAATTTCGTCGTCTGGAATAAATACATACGCGCTGAAATTTTACAAATTGCCGAACTGCAACAAGAAGAGTATATCGTGTGGGCCATAGACTACGGTTTTCCGTTGCTAACCAAACGTCAGCATTTACGTTATTTACCTGAGGCCTTGGCCAATCGAATCGGTCATGTATATCGTGGCGGCGTGGCCAATATACAACCAGCTGTGCTGGAATATGATCATATCCAAAGTAATATTGTTCTGGCAAAACAGGATGAATGGATACAGCGGTCGTGTGATATGATGGAAAAACTATTATCCGATGCTTCGTGCATTGTTTTTGTTGATCAGTTTCAAACGGCCGACGATCACCATTGGGGCGATCTATTTATAACCAATCACAAAGGCAACAAATTTAATGCTCACTCCTATTTACAAGCGGCCAAATTTGCCATCGATGTGGACCCGCAACTATTCCCTAAAATGTGTGTCAAATTGAAGACAACCAATATTGCCCCTTGGCTATCGAATAATCGCAATACGAAATTCAAAATCAATTCTATTAAACACAACATGGCTGAGCATAATAATAAAATGACTTCGGCCATTATTGATGAATGTGCCAAACGTAAGGTTGAAGATTGGTGTGCCCGAAATGCCATGGCTCAACATGCTGCTGCTGATATTGCTTCGTCCTCGGAAAATTTAGAATCTTCTGGAACCGAGAGTGGTCACGATCATCACATTGATGATATAACATTTGATGATTCTGTATCCGTGGTGCATGAAAAGAATAGAAAGGATTCCAAATATCCAGCTCAACATCATCATCATCATGAACATAAACGTAAGGAAGATCCCGATGAACTACCGCTTAACTATTTAGGCAAAGCGGGTAAATTAACTAAAATCAAACAGCAAAAATATTCGAAACAAAATTTACCACCACGAGCCCAATCAACTGCATTTAATATGAACACGCAAGATCAGGGTGATGATAATGACATGTTTCAGCTGAATCCCCCGAAGCCAAAAGTTTCCATGCCGGCGGCACCAACCATAATTTCTACCACATCGACGAATTCCACAAATGTTTCCTCTCGTATACGTAAATTGGCGGATGTACGTCTGGAACAGGCCAGAAAACAGCAGCAGCAACAACGTCAGAAACAAAATCCACGTGATTTGGTAAATTCTAATGCCGGAACCACTTCTGTTGTATCAGCCGGTGGAGGTGGTAGCACCGATGGCGATAGTATAATTTCAATGCGCCAGCAACGTTTAATTGATTTACGTAAAAAATATTCGCAAAAAGATCGAGAATCTAAATCATTTTCCGATGAGACATATAATGTTACTTCAAATGTCCCTGCTGCTGCTGCTCAAGTGAATTTGCCTTCAGGTGGCACACGTACTCCGATTAGTTCCCGCACCCAACGTTTACTTGGCATGCGACAGAAGGTAAGATTTAAATTAATTTACAAAACTGTAAAATAAAAAATAGAGTTTTATTAAAATCGGTTCAGATTTAGATTTAGCTCCCATATATATTTTCTTCGGATTTTTAGCAAATTATGCACCAAAGACTGAAGTTTTATTGAAACCGGTTCTGATTTAGATATAGCTCCCATATATATTTTCTTCGGAAAATTGTTATGAAATTTTGCACAACGTACTGAAGTTACGATAGCCTAACATGTACCAAGTTTTATTGAAATCGGTTCAGATTTAAATATATATATTTTCTTCGGATTTTTAGAAAATGGTGCAACAAAGAGTCAAAAATTAGGTCGATTGTTACGAAATTTTGCACAACATACTGAAGTTGAGATAGCCTAACGTGTGCCAAGTTGTATTGAAATCGGTTCAGATTTAGATATAGCTCCCATATATATTTTCGTCCGATTTTTAGTAAATGGTGCCCCAAAGAGTCAAATTTAGGTTGGGATAGCCAAACTTGTGCCAAGTTTTATTGAAATCGGTTCAGATTTAGATATAGCTCCCATACATATTTTCGTCCGATTTTTAACCATTTGTGCACCAAAGAGTCAATTTTAGGCCGATTGGTACGAAATTTTGCACAACGTACTGAAGTAAGGATGGCCTAACATGTACCAAGTTTTATTGAAATCGCTTCAGATTTAGATATAGTTCCCATATATATTTTCGTCCGATTTTTAGCTTATGTTGCACCAAAGAGTCGATTTCTGTTTAATAAAATATATGTTTTGTTATTCATTTCAGTATCAACTGCACGATACAACACCACATTCCATAGAAAGTCCATCAACCCTTAATCCATATGAACGGTTGGAGCAATCTACAGCCACCGGCATTGATGATTCCAATTTCGATAAAACACAAGTAAGTACAAAAATCAAAATTCCATACATAATACCAATAAAATATGTCGTTTCTTTCGAAAGGATACTCAGGATTCGTCGGTGGGAAATAATTGTAGCAAACAATTCAGTGAAATGGGACGTAAATTGTTATCATCTACAATTAGTAGCGCCACCGATAACTCATTGATTGGGGCAATGTCTAGCTTCAAGGTAATTTATTTCAAAACCAAATTTTAAATTTTGTGAAATATTTTTTTTTGTATAAAAACAACAAACTGGGATTAAGCCTGACTATTTTGCAAAAACGTAATAATTTATATATTATTTTTAGATTAATGAAAATCCAACCAAAGAAGAAACAAGAAATACTTTTGATATATTCAAGGCAATTGATTTTGAAACTAAACCAAAGAATTCTGTAAATAGTAGTGACAAGGTAAAATATAGAATTAGATGTTTTGTGGTAAATATATTTTGCTAATATTGTTTCGCTTTCCAACGCAGGAATCTCAAAGTGCCTATGATGGTTTGACATTAGTACCGGCCGGTTTTGATATAACACGTTTACAAAAATATCGTGATGAAGAAAATCACTGGCATCGTAAAAAGACAACACGCCATGAAAATTTGCCGCATGATGACCAGACTGCTGTATCATCATCGGAAGAATTTTTAATACCCAATGATGGCAGGAGTACAAAACATGATGAAAGTGGTTCCTCATCTGATTTCTTTCAAATAAAACCACCAGCTATAAAACAGAAACACAATTCAAAACGTCTAGCTCCTCGCCCACTGGCTGGTATGCAACGTAAAGAAAACGAAAATCCAAATGTAGATGGCAGCATTAAAACTATCCTTGATCAATCTATACCCAGTATACCTGATACCGATAATGTAATACAACCACTTAAATACTCTTCTCAGCAACGGGAAGTGAAAGTTCCGAAAATAAAGAATAGCTTTAACAAAGCGGCGGCCACCTATGATGTCAATAATTATAGCAGTGAAATTTCGACGTAAGTCAAAGTCTTACTACAAAAATCTTCAGTATTCATAATGTATTTTTTTAATATATATATTTTATATATAAACACTATTTTCTATAAAAAAAAAGTGAATTCCATTTTAGTTTTGTATGCATTTAGCTTGAAGTATTTTATATTTGATTTTTTTTCATAATTTTTGTTTTGTGTGGTATTGAATACCAATGTTCCTTATTGCTTTATTTTTTATGAATAAATATTTCATTTCATAACCGAATCTTTTAAATGTGCCTTTTATTTTAAATGTTGTTGTGATTATTGTTTGCAATTTGTGTCCTTGGTATGGGGAAATTGAAAATGTTTTCTTCTTCATTTGAAATAAAAGGCACGTGCCAAAAGAAGATGAAAAGAAATCCACTGATGATTGGATGTGTGGAATCAGTATTTATTTTTAATTTTTATAAATTATTTTTTTATTAATTAATAATTATTTTAATTAATTAATATGAATGAATCCCAACTTCACTTTTAAATTTTAAATTAAGTAGATGCGAACAGTGACATATATTGACCACCCGTTATCGTGAAACGAAGTGAGTCTGTTTTCAATTTTATTCTATCCTATAATTTACGTATATGTAATAGAGGTAGCGATCCGACATTTAAAATTAGGGATAGAGAGAAGGTAATTGCATTAACCCTCTCAAATCTAGCATTAGCAATTGGAGAGTATTTGATGAATGTTCATTTTCGGGTCATTTAAAGATTTTCTTCGAGGTCTCTTTTGACGGCGGTAAACAAAAGCCTTATCGAAATCCGAGGAGAACAAACTGGGAGAAATACACGAATCTAACGAACTCCCAGCTGACTCTTAATACAAACTTAGAAACAGATGTGGTACTCAATGGGGCCGTCAACAATCTAACGGACGTCCTTCTCAGTTGGCCATAAGGAATCCTGTCCTCTTATATACCCTGGGAAAAAATCTCAACCATTGTGGTGGAATAGGGAACTTGGTGAACTGAGGAAAGCGACCAGACGACTGTACAATAGGGCGCATAAATCAAAACTCAATATTGACTGGAACTCCTCTATAGAGCTAGTTTCAACAAATACAAGAGTGAGATTAAGCGTGCAAAGAAAAAGTCTTGGATAAATTTCTGTGAGTCGATAGAAGATGTCAACGACGCTGTTAGAATTCGAAGATTACTATCCAAAGATCCGAAATCCATCGGGAGTATAAAGAAACAAGATGGAACGTGGGCGAATTCCGGTTATGAGACTCTTAATATCCTAGCTCAGACTCATTTCCCAGGTTGAAAAGATGTGCATACCATCAACATTGAATGTGATGACACTCTACCTCTTGCGTCTATTGATTTGGATCTCATTGGCAAGGTGGTTGGTTAGCAGAAATAATATACGCTGGGCAGTCAACATATTCAAAACATATAAATAACCAGGTCCAGATGGTATCAGACCGGCGATGCTTCAATTTGCCTTGCCAAGTATATATCTGATCCTTGAGAAGATCTATACCAAGTCACTCTGCACCAAAGGACTATAGACCCCATTAGCCTATCATCCTTTCTCCTCAAGACTCTCGAAAGATTAATCGACCTGGAGATTAGGAGTCGTCATGTAGACACCACCTCTGTTAGCAATTCGCAGCACGCATATAGAAGAAGCTTTCAATGACGTTAAACTTGAGTCGGAAAACCACTCACTTAAAAAAGTTATCATTCCTGAAACCCTTACTTGCTGGATAAATAAAATGCCAATTTGAAGAATTATAAATTCAAATGTGGGGGATACCGCATTGGAGTAACTCCAACAAAGACAGAACTAGTAATGTTCACTAGAAAACGTAAGCTCGACGTTTTTGCTCCACCAACACTGGAAGGAGTGCAGCTTCATCTGTCGCCCGAAGTAAAATACTTTGGCACAATCTGGACTGTCAATTACGATTAAATAGGAACGCTAAGGAACAAGCGAAAAGAGGGCTGATTGCACTCTATGCATGCAAGAACTCCATTGGGAAAAGTTGAGGCTAAAATCATCGACTATACACTGGTTGTATAACACGGTTGTGAAGCCCATCCTTTCTATGGTTCCCTTGTTTGGTTGCACTGCTTTGGCCACAAGTCGACACCCAGCTAACTAGACAAGGTACAAAGAGCCGCTGAACTTAAGGCCTCTGTGTCTCAGCATTAAGTGTCATGCCGCGCGTAGTGCCCTAAGGCTGCATGAACAAAATCTATGGCGAAATTGTACCTACGGGCATGGATGTATGCTGAACGAACTAGGTATGACAGTGGGCCATTTGACGATATAGATGTCGTTATCACTAGTAGAGACGACTGGAACCGTAGCAACCCTCCCCTGGACGGTCTGGTTTTTTTATACAGATCGATCCAAGATGGAAGAAAGTACAAGGGCTGGCGTCTACTGTGAAAGGCTAGGTATTGAGCTTACCTACAAGCTGGATAGCAACTGTAGTGTTTATCAAGCTGAAATCTTCGCTATTTAAAAGGCTGCGGAATTGATAAAAAGTCTGGAATTGTGGATAGTCAGGCGGCTCTTAAAGGTATCAAATCCTGTAATATCAAATCTAAGGTCGTTCTCGAGTGTAGAACAGTTTTGGAAACACTCACAGCTATGGGCTGTGTTGGGTACCAGAACACCGTGACATTATGGGTAATGAAAGAGCAGACGAATTAGGCAGACGATGATCTCAATCTACAGATCTAGAAATCGAGGGCTCAATCAAACCACTCATCTGTCATCTTTTTCGAACTTTGAGGCGTTCTTCGACGAACGAGCCAATGAACTCTGACACAACGACTCTGTCAACCAAAAGGACACACTCACTGTTGAACCTGAGCAATGCTGAAATTAGAGTAATGACAGGTGTCATTTAATCAATATTCAGTAAAAAAATTAAATCAATATTCAGTAAATATGAAGAACTGTCGGATCCGTCAGAATTATTTGCTAAAAACTATATAGTTAGATCAAATAAGCAAACAAAAAATCGAGGAAGAAAGAACCGGTTTTTTATAATTTTTGAACCGGATATTCAAATAATGGGGACTACCGTAAGAGGGAGTGAATATTAAAAATTTTTGGTAGGGAGATTTGTTGCCATATACGACTACAAAATACCAAATTACAGCGAATAAGAACTCAAAGTACTAAATTACAACCAATTCGGTCGAAAAATGCGATCAAAACCAAAATACAGAAAATTTGGGGGTACTGTTATATAAGGGCTACCAGAAAAAGTGGACCGATATTTATAATTTTTAGTTGTACCAAATTTCAGTAAATTCGGTTGAAAAACGCGCTCAAGAAATTGGTGGGTACCCTTATATGGGAGCTATGCCTAAACGTGGGCCGATATAGCCCATCTTCGAACATGACCTGCCTGCAGACAAAAGATGACTTTATGCACAATTTTGGCGATGTATCTCAAATCGTTTAGACTCTAGAGTGATTACAACAGACAGATGGACGAGCTTAGATCGTCATAGAATTTTACGCTGATCTTTATAGGGTCGGAAACGATTATTTCGATGTGTTACAAACGGAAAATCGAAATTAATATATCTCCATACTTTCATACGATTATTTCGATGTGTTACAAACGGAAAATCGAAATTAATATACCTACATACTTTGCTGGAGGGTATAAAAAAATAAATATTAAATATTTTCAAGGTCTATTTGAAAACCTGCATTTTTTATTTTTTTTTAAGTCCTTCATTTGATTACAACTTTTCACATCTCATTTAGCCCATTTCGCACATCAATTTTTATTATTTTCCTCTTATCTTCCCTAAAATTAGTTCCTCCACAACAAACTCAACGCCAAATAGTGAAAAACATTTACAGCGAAAACATCATCAGCATCGACAATTGAAATCTCCATCAATGCAAATTTCCAAAATTGATGAAATTTTACAACAACATCTGCTGGAAAAGGAACGTGGTAATACAAATATTCTAGATTTAAAGAATAGCATAACCAGCCCACAACGATCTCAAACATCTGCTGTATCATACACACGAATAGAACGAACGCCACATAACAACAATTCGCTATCATCAAATGATTTCACGGATAGCGAGACACGTTCCAAATCATCTACCAATAGCGATGAGAAAATTCTCCTACCAGCCGGAAAATCACCAGAAAATAAACATATGAAAAATATGTACAACTATAATACTCTTTTGGAAGTGAAACGTACCGAACATCTGCCCATAATCGAGGGTGAAATTGCAATGCAAACCAAATTCATTGATCATTTGGTATTGGCCCATTCCAGTGTACCATTGGAACCAATAGAAAATGTGACAGAGGCCCCATTTCTGCCAGAGATTTATGAAGAAATGCGAAATATGCGCGTCAACAAGGTCTATCGCATTCAGGTGTACTCGTGGTCTCATGTCTTGCGGGGTAACTCATTGTTTGTGGTAAATCCGGCAAGAAGTGGTAAAACATGGTCATATCTACCGGCACTGTGTAGCTTAGTCTGTTGTCGTTATCAACGTGTCAAAGAGTCATATGGTCCAGTTGCCATCATTTTGGTGGCCTCTTCGAAACATGTTGAATCGGTTAACGGTTATTGTCGTCGTTTAATGAGCGGCCTCAAAGCCGACGCCCCCAGTTGTGTACCCTCATATGGTATGCGTAATTTTATCGATACCAAGGTGCAATTGCTCAATGGGTGTGGTATATTAATCACAACACCTTCATCCCTGTTGCGGCTGTTGCGTGATAATGCCAATGAACCTCTATTTGACAGTGAACGCCTACAACATATTGTCATTGATGATATGGATATTATGTTATCACGTTCCCATGAAGATTTTGAGTCTGCTGTTCGTATTGTTTTTAAATTGTCGAAAAAATCGAAAATTAAAACGTTGCAGCCACAATTGATTGTTACATCGCGGGATTGGGATGGTGTTATGATACGTTTAATACGTAAATCAAATCAACCCTTGCTGTTGATTGGTGACTTCTTAGAGGCAGCTGTCTATGGACGAGCTGCACTATCGGTGAAATTGAAATCTAGTCAGGAGAAAAATGATACCATTTTACGTTTCATAAAGAAATGCACGGAAAGTCTACAGGGAGATTTGGAACATGGCCGTATGCTTATTATGTGCAATAGTGATGAAGATGTACGCAATGTTGTGCAATTTATTACGGAGTGTGGTTATCCTTGTTTGCCCTATTATAATCGTTCAACCGATAGCGAACAAGCCACCGTGGATGAATGGAAGAAGAAAGTGAGTATGGAAGTAGGATACATGGATAAATAATAATTGGAATATATACAAAAAAGTTTCCTTTAATATGAATTTGAATTCCCTCTATTTCATTTCTCTTCATTCAACAGGTTTCCTCACAAATTCTCGTCTGCACCGATGCCCGATTTCCCGAATTGAAAATACAAAATGTCTACAATTTAATACACTATTCAATGCCAACATCATGGACACAATTTACAACACGTTTCTCAGCATTGGCACAAACCTATGATAATTTTGTATCAAAAAAATTCGAAGAACAACCGCCACAGCCACTAATAGCCGCTACATCGCCACGATCACTAGATGCGACCTCTTCGGCCCACTCAATGATATTACTAGACGAAGATAATAGTTTACAGCTACCGCGTTTAGTTGACTTTTTACGTAAACATAATCAATCGGTACATTCGGACATATTGGCTGTGTCGAAACGTGTTCTTATCGAACGTGAGGAATCACGCTTGTGTAAGGGAATTTTGCTATGTCCTCAGCTACTCGAATTTGGCGAATGTGATGATACACGCTGTGATAAACGTCATGAATTGACACGTTTCGATATAATTGATGATCGTGATGATATACCATCAGATGGTGAATTGAGAATACATATTTTAAAGGTAAGTACGAGGTCCATGATTTTGTCTTTTTCTTCTCACCATTGCCATGATTTGTGTATATTAATGTATCTGACATATTTCCGTTGATATTAGAAGAACGGGCTTCAAATAAATTACATCCGCTTTAATTTCTATCGGTCATAAATTGATGTCACCACAAGACATACGCAGTATGGGACTAGGATTGCCTGCCCTGTATGCAACCGGTAATCTTCCTTTCTACTCAAGACTTTAGAAAGGTTACTAGACTCAGAAATTAGAAATACTATTGATCAAAGCTATATTAACAACTCCCAGCATGCATACATCAAAGGTAAATCAGTGGATATGACTTTAAATGAGGTGTTTGAACGCATTGAGAAGAATATAGAGTCCTCTGGCTACACCTTGGCAGCGTTCCTCGATATTCAGGGAGCTTTCAGCAATGTAAAGCTAGAGACCATCCATTCCGCTCTCGTTAGCTCAGGTATCCCCTCACTTCTAACGGGATCCCCTCACTTGATTGCAAGTCCGCTCTGCATGATATACGACGGAGAGTTTATTTATGTTGGGTTCCAGGACATAGTAGTAGAAGAAAACGAGATAGCCGACGAGCTTGTTCGAGGGGGCGCGCAATTGTCCAATCTTCCGATTGAGAGATCTGGCAAAATCCTCTTGTTCTACGGCGAGGTAGTCGGTAACAGATGGTCGAGAGAACCTAGTTGCAGAATCTCTAAAGCTATCTGGCCTGAATTCTCTCGACGAAGAACTTCTTCACATAATAAGAGAGAGAGAGAGATAAAAATCATTGTGGGGATAATAACAGGTCACTGCAGGATTCAATCTCTCACTTCGAAATGGGACTCCAGCGGAGAGGATTACTGTCGTCTATGTGAGGACGAAGAAGAGCTAGAAACAATTGAACATAGGAAAAGGTCCTTCAAATAACTGACGACTTGCAACCCCGTCAGGGTCAGCTCGATCCATGATTGCTAATGGCCGATCATCCAGTACCTCCTGCCGAGCAGCAGAGTCGCTAGGCGCCGTTATATGTTTCTGGACTACCTGCTTCTAGGCAGCGTGTTTGGCTTTCACCACACCCTCACCGCTCTTAGCAGGTTTCTCCTTCGACACTACTACCGACGCAAACTCGACTTTGTGGATCTCTTAGCAGCAGGCCGTGATCGAGATTCGGCTCCCGGGTCGCTACCTTTGGCGCATCCACCAACAACTGCCCAATTGTTACAACCTTAGATATCGGATTCGACAATTCGGCAGAGGGTGAGTTTTAAGAAGGGGAGGCCTTTTTACGGGCTCTCCGTCGGGCTTACTTCGACAGTCCCTTACCCTCCGTCTTCGTGGATGTTGGTGTCTGAGACGTCTCAGTACTCTTGGGAGGTACTGAGGGCTTAGACGTCTACAACAAGTCCTTTCAATCAAGAAATTCCTCGCAATATCATTCGGATAGTTCCTAGAAAACTTCAAATGAATTTGTGGTTCCTCTTGATCAAAAGGAACTCCTTTTCCGTGATGTAGTTACTGTCTCGTCCAATGAAATTCGGCTCCATAGAAAATGATTTTGGTGAGGGATTGAGGTCACCATGTACTATTCATACTCACAAGCATTTATTTTCGAAATCTCTTCCTTATTTCCATTATGTAGATTCAAATGTGATCAGAAGTCCAATAATATATGTTTTATCAAATACCTACAGTACTTTTCGTAACCTTCTGGTTCGAATTTCCAAAAATTTCCTTATCTCACGCCTACAAACCAACAACAACCCACACTCAAGCTTCAGCCGTTTCACGTGGTCAATGATCTGTCAGTCACTGACTTATAACTAAGCTCTTTTATATATTAAAAAATATAGAATGTCCACCGATTTTAGTGTCAGGTTATAAAAAGTTCTGGCCCAGTCGTCGTTTTTGGTATTTTATTTGAAATTTCTTTTAAATGTTTATCTCTTTTTCTTTTAGGTATTTTCCCCCACCCACTATGCTGCTCGCCTTTTACTACACAAAGCACCTAACTCGACACAATGGCAGGAAATTCGTCGCTCTGGGGAAAATTTAACATATTCTGTACAAATGGATCAGCATTATCGTAACGAAGATAATCTATCGCTACATTGGCCACCATACATCAATGATTTGTGTATGTACAAATATGGTGATAATTTCCGTAGAGCTCGCATCCTTGAAGCTCCCGATTTGGCTGGTAAAAACCTTAATATTGTCCAGGCCAATTTAAAAGTTACCCTAAAATTAGTCGATGTTGGAATTGTGATAAATTCCGTCAAATGTAGTGAACTATTCATTTGTGATGAAAAATTCAAAGAATTCCCCTATCAAGCCATCGATATTCGACTTATGAATGTGGTGCCATTCGATAATGAACGTACCTGGGATTCGAAAACAACGAAGCAGGTACAAAATTGGATTATGGATGAAATCAAAGCAAATCATGTGGTCCAGGTGGGTGTGACATTTGCCTTTGCCCAAACCATATGGGTTAACAATTTGGTGGTAATGGAAAAGTTGTCGACCCTTGGCACCTATAGGCCATATGTTAATTTGAAGTTGTCGCTATTAAAACGAAACTTTGCCTTGGCCAGTAAAGGAGGTGAACGAAAACATGTACGTGATATTGCCATGGAATATGGTTTATTAAAGACCAATGCCAGCAGTGTCATGATGAGCTGTGAGGCTACCAATCTTATTGATACCACCCTGGAAGATTACGAGTCGTGTCATAGTGATTTAATAAAATTCTCATCCTCCACGGGGGATGCTATGACAAATACCAGTATTGATTCGGTAACAAATGATTCTCTAACAAAACAAGAGAAAGAGATGGGAAGCAGCGGCGGCGGAGGAATTGCGAAAGAAAATCAAAATTACAACCAAAATTTGTATAAAAAGAAAGAGGAAAGCAGCAGTGTGTCGAAGGGGAATCAAAATGAGAAGCTGAGTTTGGATACAAAGGAGTATAAGGCCACAAAAAGTGCAACAAAGGAATCGTTTGACAACGAAGAAAATTGGGATGAGTTACAATGCGAGGACCCAATTGAGGGCAAAGAACGTGGAGAGGTAAATTCGTTATTCAAATATATTTTTATATCCTCCACTATAAGGTGAAGAATATATTAAATTTGTCATTCCGTTTGCAACATCTTGAAATCTTTTTCGAAAACCCCATATAGACCAAATTATTCATTATCAGAATAAAATACTATATCAATTTAGCCATGTCGAAATTTAGTAACAGTACAAATTTCCATTACTACCTACATCATACAATCCAATAGAAATTATTTCTCAATTTCAGGATTCCAGACCTATCGGTATTGTACCAAATTTAGTACCATTTAGTAGACATAAGTACGAATTTCCAAAACTATTTATATACCTCAATTCTTCCAAATTCAAATTGTACCAAATTTAGTGCAGTTAAGTACTTTTCGTATACATGTTTACACACTTCCGAAACCACCTCCTTATATCGACTCTACTTATCAACCTTAATTCGCATTTCAACTTTCAAGTTTTTAGCTCTATCCATTCACATGCTACGAAATTGTACAAAATTTTGTACACTTTAGTACTTTTCCGATACTACATCTATTCTACACTCCATCAGTGACCCTCATTTCAAAATCCAAAATCCAAATTGTACCAAAAGTAATACCATTTAGTACTTTTCGTACACATAGGTATAAATTTCCAAAACTACCTACATATCGCTATCCTACACTCTGACAATAATGTTAGTTTCAAATTTCAGGCTTCCAGCTCCATCCGTACCTCCAAATTCAAACTGTACCAAATTTAGTACAGCTAAGTACTTTTCGTATACATGAGTACACACTTACGCTGATGTTTGAGTTTTAGTCCATTCTGAGACTTATAGTAAAACTTTATGGCGAACATTTCTGTAGAATATTCTGAGCAGCTTTAACACCGTTTTTAATGAGTTTTCAATCACTTTTGGAAAAGGGGACGGAAAAGACCCCTTCAATGTGTCAGTTGAGGGTTAAAGTTGCATACTAAAATATTCCTCGATATTTTATCAGTAATATTGCCGAAGACACTATATACCAAAATACAAGGATTTCAAGAAATCATAATTCGAAAATTATCAAAATTCTTGAAAAGGTGAAATATTACACCGCCTTTTTAGGCCCTCTTTCATAATCTGTTGGATTTTCCCGGTAATTATCAAAAACTTGAAAGTAAACATTTCGAGTTTTCGAAAAATAAAATTCCTATTGTTGGAACAGTTTCAATATAGATACATGTTTAACATAGGTCTATGCAAGGTTCCACACTCATTTTAGATATTTTGAAGACTACCCACCTTATGGTAATTTAATTTCAATTTTTTCTATTCTCCTCAGATTTATTTACCCCTAACAACTCCATCCACCAACAATCAGAATGAACACAAAGCGAAAGGAGAGGAGCTTTGGTCCCAGTTGCCATTAAATGATCTGACCAAAGTCGAAATTGGTGACGAAAGTGAAAATGGCAATTGGGAAAATATTTTCCTACAAATCATCGATAAAAAGCATATGGCCATGTTTGATGACCTCAACGAATTAATCAATCGTCATGTGGCCAATTTAAAGACCATAGCCGAAAAGGAGCCCCCCAAGCGTATTTACGATTTTGAACCACTACACAATTGTATTGTCAAATATGATAATATGTATTTGAGAGCCAAGGTCCATGGCGTATTTGGTAATAGTGTTAAAAAACGACTATATCGATTTTTCCTTTGTGACTATGCCTGTTTTACCAATGCCAAATCCAGTGAACTTTATAATGATTTTCTATATGAAACCACCGAAGAAATTGTCCAGTTTATACCCTATCAGGCTGTGCACTGTACATTGGCTGGCATACAAATGGATCGTTTTGCCAAGCGATATAAAGTTACCAAAGAATATCTGTATGCATGTGCAGTGGAGCAAAGATCGGCGGAGGAAAAACAGTCATTAAGTTTAAATAATCTTCCGATTTATTCGTACAAAATCCTTTTGTATGAATGTGAAAAATCGGGTGATTTTCGGCATGCTGAAATGTTTAATCGCACCCTTGTCGACAAGGGTATAACCTCAGTGGATGAGGATAATAAACATTATTTAAAATATAAATTATGTTTAGACGATGATGATGATAATTCCAGTGAGGATGTTAAAGCTCAACAGCCAGCATCTGGCATTGTTCAAATGAATTCTTCTACCAGTGGAAGTGATATTAGTGATGTTTATACATTCGAACAATTATTGGAGTGTATTGAAAAATCTCATGAATTAGATAAACTTGATAATAATTTATTGGATGAGGCCAAAACAGTGATTGAAGAAATCAAAGAAAACACTAAAGAAGAGGAGGCGGGTAAGAAAAATAAAGTAAAAAATATAACAGAGCAAACCCCAAATGAATTAACCAAGAAATCTGAAATCACCAAGAAATTGCCAAATTATGACGACGATGAAGACCATTGTACAACAACTGAAGACGATTCGGATAATAAGAAATCATCCTCGATTTCCATTAGCTCATCAAATGATGATGGTTCCTACATTGTAACCCCACCGCCAATATTAAAAGCCCTCTATAAACGCCCAATGACAACATGGTATGAAACCGATTGCTTAATTATCATATCAATATATGCCCCTGACATTACCGAATACAACTTGGAAATAACACAAAAATCGGTATTTTTCAACACCATTATACAAGACGAAGAATATGTTGTATTCCTCAACTTACTCGGCTCAATTGATCCCCAACAAGTATCGCATGAAATTAAGGGCTTAAATGTCATAATACGTTTAGTTAAAAATGTATTTGTAACATGGCCCCGTCTACTCCAAGAATCCACGAAATATTCTTGGTTAAAATTTAATTACAATGCAATTGCTGGATCGGAATTGGAGCACATAATGCCGCAGCAACGTTTACAGGCGATATTAGAGAATGCACCAAATATTGATGAATCTCGCATATTCGATGAACTAGATTCGGATGACAGTGAAAAAGATCGCTATCAAACGTTTAATCCCATCGATACAAATGCCGACGATTATGATCCTTTTTCAATCTAAAAAATAAATGAATAGATATTGAAACTTTTTATGTTCCTTAGATATGTAAAAATTGAATTTTTTAACTATACCATATAAATATATGAATTATTTGTTTTGTTTCCCTCTTTTTTATTTAAAAAAAATAGAAATAAAAATGTTTATTTTTTAATATAAAAAATAAAATTGTATTTACATAAAATCGTACGAAAATATATATGGGAGCCATATCTAAATTTGAATCGATTTTCATGAAACTTAACTCACATCATTCTAGACTCATTTCAGTACGCTATGCTAAATTTCGTGCAAATCGAATGAAATATAGAGACTTTGTTCCACTATTTACATAAAATCGGACGAAAAAATATATGAGAGCTATATCTAAATCTGAACCGATTTTCACGAAACTTAACAGACATAATCCTACACTTATTTCCATACGCTATGCCAAATTTCGTGCAAATCGAAAGAAATATAGGGGCTTTGGTGCTCCATTAACATCAAATCGGAGAAATAAATATATAGAAGCTATATCTTAATCTGAACCGATTTTCACGAAATTTAGCACACACAATTCTAGACTCAATTCAGTACGCTATGCGAAATTTCGTGCAAATCGAAATAAATTTAGAGGCTTTGGTGCTCCATTAACATAAAATCGTACGAAAATATATACGAGAGCTATATCTAAATCTAAACCGATTTTCACTAAACTTAACACACATCATTTTAGACTCATTACAGTACGCTATGCCAAATTGCGTGCAAATCGAATGAAATTTAGAGGCCTTGGAGCTCCATTAACCTAAAATCGGACGAAATTATATATGGGAGCTATATCTAAATCTGACCCGATTTTCACGAAACTTAACACACATCATTCCAGGCTTAATTCAGTACGCTATGCCAAATTTCGTGCAAATCGAAAGAAATGTAGAGGCTTGGTGCTCCATTAACCTAAAATCGTACGAAAATATATATGGGAGCTATATCTAAATCTGAACCGACTTTTACGAAACTCAACACACATCATTTTAGACTCAATTCAGTACGCTATGCGAAATTTCATGCAAATCGAAAGATATATAGGGTCGTTGGTGCTCAATTAACATAAAATCGCCGGAAATTTATATGGGAGCAATATTAATATCTAGACCGATTTTCACGAAACTTAACACACATCATTCTAGGCTCAATTCAGAACGCTATACCAAATTTCGTCCAAATCGAAAGACTTTGGTGCACAACTTACATTAAATCGGGCGAAGAAATAAATGGGAGCTATATAAATCTGAACCGATTTTTCCAAATTTCAATAGGGTTCGTCCCTGGATCAAGTTAATGAGCTGTGCAAAATTTCATTCAATTCGGATCATAAATGCGACCTGTACTTTGTTTACAATTTAACATACAGACGGACGGACGGAATCGACTCAGAAATTGGTTTTATGCATATTCTCATGATACCCTGTAGTACTACTGTGTGGTGAGGGTATAAAAACGCAAAGCAAAAGGTAATCCGTATCGTTCACTGCTAAGGGAACGGGCTTAGAATAATAAGGGGAAAAAGAAGATCCTGTTGAGCTTGATATATACCAATGTATGGAGATTTTTTCGCTCTATCACATCCGAAATAAAAAAAAATATTTTTTTTACAAAAAGGAGTGATTTCATTTCGTTTCTTTATTTCGAATCTAACCGAAAAAATAACCTGTATTTTAAAAACAGTTTTTTAACCTATGACTATATGATGTATTATGACATAACCTAATAGTATTGGCCATATTGTTGTGGTGGCAGCTGATGGACTTGTGGCCCCACTGCCTGTTGTATGTTATGGAAGTTTTGTGGAATTTGGTTAGATGTTGATGGAATGGGATGGGCTGCAGCAACGCTTGGAACAATAACGGATTGTTGCATATGTGACTGATGTGGTTGTGTTGGTGTCGGTTGTGGTATATTAGCGGCAGGTGCAGCGGCGGCGTATTGTATAGCTGATGTTGCTGCTGTTGCACTTGGTAATTGCATCGTTTGTGGTATATGTTGCGTGGGAATTTGTTGCACTGGCGCGGTGATTGTTGTTGCTGCTACTGCAGATGTTGTCGATGTGGTCGCTGGCAATACATTTTGAGGTAAATGTTGTTGCTCTTTGCCCGATGTAATTGCCAATGTTGTATTGGGTGGACCGTCCAACCAATCGATTAACGCATGATGTGGACTCTGAACACATCTCAACTGATCAGCAATAAGATTTTCCGAATATTTTACATGATTGGCATAGGCCTCTTTTTCGTGTAGAACATCTTTGGACATTCGATGTAAATCCTTAAGGATGGCCGATCCCCATAATTGGACATGTATATCGGGAATTTTGGAGGCCAACTGCATGGCGGGTGTTACCATGTTCATACTTTCTTTGGAGTTGCCAATACTAAGGAAAACATGAGACAGCAATACCAATGAACAGGACGTTAGACGATTTAAATCTTCGGCATTGGCCATTTTTAGGGTCTCCCTCAAGAATCGCCTGTAAAAAAGTAATGAGAATTTCAAAATAAGTTTTCTGAATATATCCACCAATGCATTTGAACTCACTTGGCCTCATGAAAACTGGCTTTGTGAAAGGCATGCAGCCCCTGCACATAGTAGAATCCACCCATCAACGCCTGCGAACTATACGTATGAGTATTTTCCGTTGAGACGGCATCCAATATCTGTTTCAAATCTTGATCACGTTTTGTCCTTAAGTATATTATAGCCAAATTTAGATTTGCGAATAGCTTCAAATCCCGCTCACTCGTTTCGTTAACACATTTCAAAAATTGTCGTTCGGCATGTTCGAAAAAACTCGTCGACATGGAATAGAGACCGACCAAGCAATGCAGCTGCGCCGAATGTCTACGCATTAATTGACCCTTGGGACCGGAAGACATACACACATCACGACATATGGCTATTTCACGAATGGCCAATTCCCGATTACCCATAACCAGGCGGCACATGACAATGTGCTCCAACAATATCACCTTGAAAACGGACAAAATGGGTTTGTCATCTTGGGCTTTGAGTTTTTCAATTTGGGTTAGGGCCTTTTCGGTGTACTTTTGTGCCTTGTCCATGTAACCGGCCATCATTGAATGTGACACCGTTACCAAATAGACCAGCACGTAAAGTTGTTCCTTGGGTAGCCATACAAACATGTCCATGGGGTTTTGTCCAAAAATCACTGGAAAACAAAGGAAGCAAACAAAAAATAAGCGAATTTTTTAGAAAATTCTTCTTCGTCGACTCACCTTCATCGGCTGGCCAATTTGGTGCCATAATGGTTTGTATTGACATTTGTAATTGCTTTAAACTGGGCTTCACCGTTTTCACCTGGCCGAGGGCCAAATAATAGCACACCTGTAGCACCAAAAAGAACACTTTCAAATATTCCTTCTGATGTGGATTCGAAATGCTATTATCGATTATTGCTCCCGCCGAATTTAACAACGCCAGCACATCGTTTGTCTTCCGCTCTATCATCAGTATCATGGCTCGTGATAGCAGAAATAGCACCTTTAAATATGTAGCACTTGATTCGTCCGCCGACTCGGCCCCCACTGCAAGCAGCTCTGAAGCTAGAGTATATTCCTTGTCATTTGCATGCAGCTGGGCCAATTGCAGTAGCAACTTGCAATGCCAGTAGACATTGTTTTGTGACAATTCGATGGCCTTTCGCAACATTGCCTTGGCCAGGGCCATCTGATCGTTTTGTTTGTACAATTCCGCCAACATCGATGCCGTATCGAATTTCACATCATCGAAATTTAGCAGTGGCTCGGATAACCTCCAGGCCGTTTCCAAATGTTCCCGGGCCATGTCAGTGTTGTTTGTGTAGGTTATAAGTATTTGGCCCATTTGTAGATGTGTGCGAGCCTCCACTTTTGACGGAGGATTGAACGTAAACAAAGCTTGTAGACATTGTATACACTTCTTAATGTTCGGTGGTTCAGAGGTGCGGAAATATTCCGCCAAACCCAGCAGTGAGATATAGCAAGCGTCCTGTGATGTTGTTGCCGTCTGGGAGGTACTAGCCGGTTGCACGCTCATTTTTATTTTTTAACAACTACTAACTACTAAACAATCGAATGTTTCCTGGTCTCCCGATGTAAATAAGTAGTTTTCTCCTGCTTTCCATGAAGCAGCAACAAACGTTTGACGTTTCGACAATGTTGTCAACTTTATGAAATTGTACAATATTTTGTTATTGAGTGTTAAAAATCGCTGGAATGGTGGGTATTTAAGGGGTTGACAACATTGGTAATGTGACATCGGGTATTTGGTAATTACAATGAAATAACACAATGTTTAAATAAGGCATTTTTGAGTTGGGAAATATAAAACATTTTTAGACGCCAAGATGTAGCATGTTCGTAGCATGTTGACATAGAGATTTTTGTGTTCCATTTATGTATATGAAATCGGAAAACATATGATGTCCCAGTTTGTTGTTTTTATAAAAATGAATATTTATTATTGTAATTATATAAGATCTATTTAAAACAAAACCGACCGACGGCATTCGGTATTCTGCAGCACAGCATGTGCAAAACATCTCAATCGGATAAAAATCTATTTTGTGCACAATTTAATAGAAATCGAGCGAACATGGGGCTGGCGTCTACTGTGAAAGGCTAGTCCTCGAGCTTGCCTACAAGCTGGATAGCAACTGTAGTGTTTTCCAATCTGAAATCTATGCGATTTGGAAGGCAGCGGATGGAGAGATCATTGAACCGGTGACTATCTTTGTGGATAGTCAAGCGGCTCTTAAAGCCATCAAATCCTCTTACATCAAATCTGAAGCCGTCGTCAAGTGTATAACAGTTTTGGAACAGCTATCGGCTGTGTTGGGTACCAAGACACCGCGATATCATGGGCAATGAAAGAGTAGACGAATTAGCTAGACGAGAATCTCAATCTACAGATCTAGCAATTGATCGCTCAATCAAACCACCCATATGTGATCTTTATCGGAACTTCGAGGCGTTCTTCGACGAAAGACGACGAACCCAGATGCAATGTGTCATGATATATTTGGTCGATTCTGTCTACTAAAAGGACACACTCACTGCTGAACCTGAGCAAAGCTGAAATAAGAGTAATGACAGGAATCATTACTGGTCATTTCAATATCAGGACCATTACCAGTAAATAGGACCATGATGTTACTGATTACTGTAAACTCTGCATTGACGAGGAAGAGACGGAGACAATTAAGCATCTCCTGTGTCGCTGCCCAGCCCTGGCCTACAGACGGCACAGACTAGTGGGTGCTCACTTTACATCACTTTCCAGCATAATTTGAAACCTAAAGTGGTTGGGAAAAAGCAGCCTTGACAGGTAATATATTTTCTGTACGATCTCTATAGCCATCGATACTATCTCATACTTACCTTCTCACACTTCCTTGAATGCTTCTCAATTCTCTTTTCTCCCCTATTTTTTCTCAGTTATATTCCTCAAAGTCAAATTACAAATAACCATCAAAATATTAAAAAAATAAATTTAATGTAAAATCAGGAGGGGTCGTAATGTAGGTGTTATCCATAAATAGCACTCAAAATGTTCCAAGAGGATTTTGACATAGAATTTCAAGCTGACTAAGTATAACAAACGTATATATCAGATATAAGAGTTGTTCCTATAATTCCACATTTTGTTATAGCGGGAAAAATGAATATCCGTCAAATTAAAAAATCGAGTTGATTTTATAGAACAAGTCGCAATGAGCCTTTTAGATAATTTCGATTATTACTAGTCAAAATTCATAGTTTTGTATATATGACCTCTAACTAAAAATTATCTAGAGTTGCAACAAAAAAATATCCATCCAAATACTTTTAGTAAGTTTTTTTACTACGAATTACAACAAAGTTATACTTTATTTCTTTTGGCGTTTCAATTGATCCAATGGTGATAATTTAATTTTTAAATGTGAGACATCGTCAATTCCAACTTTATGTGCAGAAAAAAGATGATTTTTAAGACTGAAAATGAAAAAAGAAAAACATGAGATAATAAAACATACGTTATATCCATGTCAATACTTACAGGTGTGGTTTGAGGAATGACTTTTCACAACGATCACAATTATAGCGATGACTAGAATGTACCTTGTACAGGTGATCCTGTAAACGTTTACGTGTCTGAAATGCTTTCGAACAGGTCGAACATTCAAATTGTTTCTCTCCTGTGTGTATAAATGTGTGATCGACTAGGTGTTGACGTTGACGAAACGCTGCATTACAATCTTCATATTCGCATACAAAAGGCTTCTCGTCGCGATGCATACGAAAATGCAAGATGAGTTGTGAACGGCGGGCAAATTTTTTACCACATTCAGAGCATTCGACTTTTTTGCCAAAATGCAGCGCCTGATGGGTGGTGAGTATGTTCTTTTGGCGAAATGATTTTCCGCATACCTCACATTTGAATGGTTTAATATCGCTGTGTATGTTGTAATGTGATTCAATATCGTATATGCGATCAAAGGCTCGATCTGCAAAAGAGCGATTGTGATATCAAGTCTGAATTAAATGTACGGAGTTTTGCAATAATAGATGTTATTTTGCTTAATTTGTATTTGCTTAAAATGTATCTAAACATTTTCGTTCCCTATTTATCCTATTACTGGTTCTAACTTGTTAAAAGCGACAGCTCGCTCGCGAAATACCATTTAACTCAAAATAACACCTCTTTTTGGAAAATCCCATACCAATTATATTACATACCGCAATGCTGACACTGATATGACTTTTTCACTTTGCCATTTTCATCCAGAACAGTTGTAACTACATATGTGTTTGTGGAGGGTCCAGAATTTGTAGTACTGCTGCGAGTTTTTTGTCCCGATGTCGATTTTGAGGTGGAGGAAGTTGATGATGAGGTACGCATTTCTTCTTTTATAGATTCTTGTATAAGCTTATAAATATCCTCATCATCTTCATCAGCATTATCATTATCATCACCCTCCTCTTCAGCTTCTTCTTCTTCAAATACGTATGTTTCATTTTCAGTATTTGCATCCTCCAGCGCATTCGACTCGGATTGATATTCAGTTTGCTCGCCATTTCCTTCATATTCATAATTTAGTATCTCTTGTTCATCGTCGATATATTTGCTATTCTTCTCCATGATTAATGCCGTGGGATCAACACCACCATCATTATCGTCATCATTTGCTTGTGACCATGTCTCGGAAGCATCCATACGATTATTGTAATCACCTTCATCTACCATAACGTTATCCTCTGAATTCTGTTCACGTTGCTGCGTTCCTTGGACAGATACTGTTGCATAATCATTGTCATTAATGGGTAATGTTAGGAGCAGTTCATCCTCTTCGTCCTCCTCCTCCTGTTTGGTTTGATGTAGCCCACCATCCAACTGCATCTGCTCCATGGGTTCTCTTGTTGAAGATACATCAGCAACGCAAATGTTTTTACTATCGTTCTGTACACTCGGTATGTTATTGGCATTCACCACAACCATTGGGTTATCGCCACCACATCCTTTGGTAAACTGATTTTTCCAATACTCATCGGCATCCTTGCACTGTTCATGAAAATCCTGCAGCTCAGCAAGTTTATTAAAGCAAGCGGCGCAAAGATTTGTGGGGTCTGTAGGTTTTTGTTTTTGTGCGATGTTTTTCAATTGTAACTCCTGTTCCATATATTTCACGATAGATCGTGTCATTTTTATGGGTTCATGACCAATCGCTTGTAAACAAATTCGGCAATTACACAAAATATCCATATTGTAATTCATTGAATTTGAACGACCGCTATGAAATGTTTTCGGTTTCCTATGTCTATATAAGTCCCTAATGTAAGTTCGCCCAAATTTCTTGTTTTTCTTGCAGATTTACACGGCATCAGTGATAGGTATACATAGGTCGACTTTTGAATAATCGGGTTTCTGTAGCAGAGCAAGGGATATACAAGTCGACAATCGATAAATAAGGGGAAAAATCGATAACTACATTTTGTGGGCAACCTATCGGGGCGCCAAGAACAAAACTTGTAATTAAAATTGGTCTGTTCCCTTACTGCAGGAATCTACTAGTTTTTATTATTTTTGTCGATATCATAAAGGAGAATTAGTTATCGTAGAAAAAAGTAGTAGAATCTTGCAGTACGGCAACAGACCGAATATCAGTACAAAAATGAAACTGAATAATTTGTATTCAATCAGTCCAAACATATGTAACATATCAATAGAGAAAATATAAAAAATGTATTAAAATCAACAACATATTTAGAAAAACTGAGAAAGATGAAATAAAAATAAATATGGGTTCTTGCCATAGTCAAGAGAAAGATGTTTTTTTTCTATTTAGATCCAAGTAAAACAAGGAACAAATGTTTGAAAAAATAAACTCTGATGACATGAATAAGGAAATATTTGAAATATATACGTACTGCAACAATCTACTAATTTTTAAGGGCTAAACAGAATGTTCGCGTTGAGCGTTTTTTGTTATCGCATTAACGCACGCAAAAAGTTAAAATATATTTAACTCCGAAGCGTAGCGCACAACTACTTCGAGCGTTTGTGTTATCGTTTCCTTGTGGTTGTTGTATTTTCGATAACACATAACGCAACGGAAGGCTCAACGCGAGCATTCTGCTTAGCCCTATAATACGATAAAAAATGAATTTTAATAACAAATAAAAAAAGGATTTTATCAATGCGTCTTCAGACCTGGCAAATCTACTATAGACCAGATTTCCACACTGCGCCAAATCCTGGAAAAGACCCACGAAAAGCACATCGACACATTCCACATATTCGTTGACTATAAAGCAGCATTCGACAGCCCAATCCACTTAGAGATCTTTAAAGCCATGTCTGCGTTCGACTTCCCTTCAAAATTAATACGGCTATACAGGATAATTTTGCACTATACAAGACGCTACCCGTCCTGGTGTATGGATCTGAAGCATGTGTACTTGCGCAAGCAGGTGAGGCAGATCTTGGAGTGTTTGAGAGAAAGATTCTTCTTCGATCTGCATCGACGGCCAATATCGGCTTTGAATGAGTTACTTACTTAGCTGGCTTATGACAGAAGCTGAGCATAAAAAAGATTTCCAGGCGCGTCGGTCTTGTGCGCATCTCATCCAATTTGAAATACCATGTTCCAAGATGTTGTCTTCAACTTGATCTTTCCATCGGATTCGTGGCATTACCCTTCTGCGTGAACCATCACTTGGCTCGCTTCTCACAAGATGGCCTAGCCAACGTAGTCACTGCAGCTCGATCCGTCTGACTATGTCGATGTCCCAGAATAGATGGTATAGCTCATGGTTTATTCGACGGGGTATTCACCACGCAGATCGGCCCCTAGATCTTTCGAAGAATTTTTTCTATCAAACACTCCAAGAGCAGCCTCATCTGATTGCGCAAGTACCTATGCTTCAGATCCATACAATAGCACAGCCAATAGCAGCGTCTTGTAGAGTGTGGGTTTGGTCTGGCGTGAGATGGCCTTGATTTTGAGTTGATTACTCAAACCATAGTAGCATCTGTTGACCAACATTATTCTATTCCGGATCTCAAAGCTGATGTTATCAGATTTGTTTATGGCTGTACCCATGGTACAATAAAACAAGGTAGGGCAGCTTGAGGTGATAACAAAAAAGCAACAATGCACGTGTGGCCCCTTCTGCCAAAAATAAAATAAATATACGCAACAAGTGTTTGATATTATTCGACATTTTTCAACACAAAACTAAAAACGCGAAAAATGAATGAAAGGTTATGATTTCTTCCCACAATACAGTAGGGAATACCATAAAATGTTTGTTTCATCCATAACAAAGTAATTACATCCAGACGAACGTGTTAAAAACTTTATTTTTATTTCAATTGAACTTGAATATATTTCAATATACTTTGAATTTATTTGACATTGTATTCAATTCATTGTATTCAATGTCAAACTGTCACCTTGTCGGAAGGCTCGTTCGGTATTGAAGGGCTTCGAGAGGTCCTTTCCTACATTAACTGCTGACATTGTACCAGTTAAAGTTATTTTGCATAGCATATTAATTTTGCAGGAATGCCATCAGTGTTCGCAAAAAAACGGTACACTATCGTAGTGTACCGTACCAGGAACACAAACACTAACAAATTTTTAGCGTTAGTGTTCCGGTACACAAACATTAAAAAATATTTTAGTGTTACTGTTCCGGAGCACAACGAAATTCGTAGTGTACCGCGGTCGGTGCACTAAAAATCGTAGTGTACCGCTGTCGGAACACTAAAAAACCGTAGCGTACCGCGGACGGAACACTAAAAATCGTAGTGTTCCACTTGCCGGAACACTAAAAATCGTAGTGTTCCACTGGCCGGAACACTAAAAATCGTAGTGTTCCATTTGTCGGAACACAAAAAGATGTATTAATTATATTTTATTTTTTGTATGAATAAAATTTATATATTTTTTTCAATAGATTTAATAAATAGAAAACTTGTTAAATTTGTATTTGTTTATATTTTATTAAAAATTAGTAATATTTTATTAGCATCTACAGTTTAACATAATAAATATTTTATAACTAAAAACGGTCGTCGAGTGAAAATTCAATCTGATGCCAACTCGCAACTGAAAATTCCATTGGATTACATTTTCGCTGATAATCGATTGCGCTGATCGGAAAAATGTATTACATAAGACTACCTGTGCAAAAATCATAAAGAATATGTGGTTTTGTAACATTTATCCCAAAATCATAAAAATATTTTTTTCATACCCGCGTAATTTGTACACTTCTTTTAATGAATAAACAGGTAATAATTATGTTGATTGTGTGACAATCACCAAATTTTGAATATTTTTGCTAAAATTTCCTAAAAGTATGAATCATAGATGGATGCAGGTATAATTGTTTTAAGAAAAAAAATTTCGTACTAGCATTTTACAAGGAGATCTCCCAATATTATGGAAAATATGTTCGTTGTGTAAATAAATGAAAATTTTATCCTAAGCTGTATAATTTTGTCACAAAAACTGGCCAAAATACCTATTTCAAATGGACATTTTCACTTTTTTTATTGCAAGTAAACTTATATTCAGTATTATTTTTTTTTATTATTTGATCTCATTTAACCTCAAAAAAAAAAAAAAAAAAAAAACAGACGTGGAACGCTACGATTTGTATTGTTCCGACCAGTGGAACACTACGATTTTTGGTGTACCACTGCCGGAACACTACGATTTTTAGTGTTCCGGCAAGTGGAACACTAAGATTTTTAGAGTTTCGATAAGCGGAACACTAACATTTTTAGTGTTCCGTCCAGAGGAACACAGTACCGCAGTCGGTACACTACGATTTTTAGTGTACCGCTGTCGGTACACTACGATTTTTTAGTGTACCGCAGCAGGTACGCTAAGATTTTCGTTGTGCTCCGGAACAGTAACGCTAAAAATATTTTTAGTGTTTGTGTACCGGTACAGTACGTTATTTTAGTGTACCTATCCACCTTGGTACGGTACAGAACACTATGGAACGGTACCATAATGTTTATTTTCGAACGCTGAATGCCATACGCAGGAATGGTTTCATAGTCGAAAAATAGGTGGAGTGTGTCGATGTGTTTTTCGTGGGTTTTTCCAATATCTGGCGCAGAGTGAAAATTTGGTCAATTGTGGATTTGCCAGACCTGAAGTAGCATTGGTATGGTCCAAAATGTCATTGACCATTGGCTTCAGTCGTTCACACAGCACGCTGGATAGCACTTTATATGCGATGGGAAGGAAACTTATTCCTCTATAGTTGGCAGATAACGTCTGGTCTCCTTTTTTTGTGCACGGGCCTCAAGAACTACCTATGTTACAAATTTAAAAATTATCCGCCACCAAGCACTAAACTAGACTTGTAGACCTCATGGTTGGGAGGGTAAAAACAATTTCATGCCGGTCGATCTTTACGACGTGTTTACTTGTTTTTCTTTCAGTGTGACATATGCGCCGCACGCTGTAATTTGATCGCATTATTTACAACTCTGTCGCCGGCAATTCTTGCCAGAATGTCAATCGTGTTAAAATGGTTGTTGAATTAACCGTTATGCGAAAAAAAAGAAAGAAGGAAGCACAGCAATAAGTGTGAAATATGATTTTTAACATAAATTGAAGGAAACGTTGTAAAAAATATATAGTTTATCTTAACAATATGCATTTACCAGAAGATGTAAGATTTTACCGAAATATTACTACCGATGTTGAATATAAAACAAGTCAATTTTTGCTGGACAAGCTGCATTTTTTCTTGAACGTAAAATGCGGTCCAACTGAAATTAAATTCTACTAAAAATTTAATTTCTATTTTTCTTCTTTTTTGCAGACAATTTGTCGCGTTTGTAAAGCTGTTTTTTGTTGCTCTAAGTGCTGTCATAAACATGAGATAAAAAATCACGCAATTGTTGTTCGGGTACCAGCTATGATTAACAATAACAACGAAAACTACGATAAACATGGTGCTGCTATTGTATCCTCGTCCTTGGCTAAATGTGGTGAGGCGGCCGCCAATAAGGCAAGTGCAGTAACAGGAACCGATCAACAACAGCAGCAGCAGGAAAAACCTCCACCCTATGAAGAAATCTATTTGTTTTGTCCGATTTGTGAAAAGCGTCCATTGCCATTGCAAAGTGAAATATATGCGGAAATGTTAATCCATCTGGAAACCCATCATTTGCCATTGCGCTGCGAGAAATGTGCAAAAATGTACTATAACATTGAAGATCTCAAGGAGTTCACCAAATGTATGCGTCCCAATGAATTATGCCATTCGGCGGAATCGACTGCTGCTAATCAATCATGCTACACCGATGAAGCTTCAAAGGTAACCGTTACTAAAGCTGGTCTTCAGTCTACCCAAATATCTCCAATGCGTCGTCATGACTTCAATGACAGTCACATGACACCGATATCGATCATCAATATGCGTTGGAAGGCCAAAAGTAAAGCGCATGAGGAATTTATTAGTGATAGTGTTTCGTCCATTAAGAATATATCATCGATAAGTAATTCCTCAATACGACGTAGTGTTGGTGTTGCTTCGGCAGTAAAGGGTAAAATTATTCGCTCCACATCAACACCTGTCCATCTGGAAATGGTCTTTGCCAAGCCGAAAGAGCAGACATTCAATGCTACAGGTGCGGGACATATGTCGAGCATTTATAATAGTGATTCGGATATAAGCCCCGCATTGCCGCAACCAAGCAGGTAGGTTACATATTTTTTACGCAAGTTATAAAGCCCATAGCAGAGTTAAAAAATTATTCTGTAAAAAATCCACGCCTATAGCTGAGATAATTTTTAAATAAATATTCTTTAGAAAACTCCACGCCTATAGCTGTAAAAATTTTTAAAAAATATTCTGTAAAAAATCCACATTGTGATAATTTCTAAAAAAATATTCAAAAAATTCAAGACTATAGCTGTGATATTTGAAAAAAAAATCCAAATCCATTCAAACTTAAAGTTCATGAATCATTTAAATTCATTACAGTCAAGCTCTTGAACCCCTTAATCGTTATCGTAAAGTAGGCAGTGGACGACCTAGAATGTCTGCTGTAACCCCCCTCCGACAGGTCATGTCGAAAAGTATACAAAAAGCCTTTGCCGAACATGGCCTACCGGCTTCGACTGCCGTTCGAGGCTCGGCAGCTGCCTTTCAACGTAAGAAAATGTTTGATACCACATCATCGCCAGGATTAGATGGCACTAGCGGAGGTGGTGCTATGATGCCACAATCACCGGCACCACCACCACTTGATTTACGCCTTTCGCCGGCGGTACGACGTAGAAATAGCGAATCAGAAGATTCTGTACACTATCAGCATGCTGCTGCCGATGAAGATCGCATGCATCGTAATGATTTACCCAATATGAGACGTAAAATTCTATTGTCAGCACAAAAGCTAACCACCGAATCGATTGTCATCACACGTACCGAACACATGTCTAGCGTTTCTTCGGCCTCCTCGTCGTCGGGCACCAGCTCTAATGGCAGTATAAATTCCATCAAACCTCACACCTCTTCTAGTTCCAGTTCGAATTCATACCATTCGGCTGGATCGAATAGCTCAAGTGGTTCAGTATTCAAATCCTGCCGCAGTGTTGAAATAATAACTGCCACAACCGAACAAATACAAGCAATACAATCGGTGGATGAGGAGAATGTCATTAGCAATCCCCTACCACCAATCACACCGATTACTCGGATTCCCGGTGCCGTCATACACAAGAAACTAATTAAATTTGAAACTCCGAAATTGGAGTCGCGTGAATCCCGTGATTCTCAAAATTCACCATGTGATGTGTTCTTTACGCCCAATGCCACACCCATACGAAAATCTTCTTTAACTCGTGATCGAGATGGCAGCTCCCCGGAAATGTGTAATCGTAAACGTTTAATTCCACAAAATCTTAATGGTCGTTTTTCGCCACCCATTCGTAAACCTACATCCCTTAAAGATTGTGCCCACAGCACGGCGTTTAGTCGCATTGAAAATTTAACCGATACCTTCGATGCCAATGATGATGATATTGAGGATGAGGTATTTATTGCCGATGAGCCGGTGGTAAAACAGAAACAAAGTAGCCACCAAATTCCAGATGATATTAAGAGTAAACAAAATCAATCGGGTATATGGTCAATAATGAGTTCGGTTATGCGTTTACCTTCGCGCAAAGGCTCCAATCCGTCGAAATGTTCACCAAACAATGAATCTTCAATGCTGGCCACCACCGATGCAAATTCCAATTCGATTATTAAACGATGTGCTTCTATAGCAGGTAAAGGCTTGCATAGGTATTTTATATTCGCATATGAATGCCAACAAATTGTTTTGTGTTGTATTTCAGGTTCCTTGGTCCGCTCTAAGCCATTGGTTGATGAGAATGAATTAAGTTCTTTGAAGCGTAAACGCACCTTTACAACCAGCGAACAATCAACCTCGGCCTATTTGGCCCAACTGCATAATTCTGAGGCCACATCGCCAACAGAAAGTTTTAATACTTCTTCGAAACGTTTTCGTATTCAACCTCGCCGTCCCATCGATCGTATGCGTATGAATAGTTAAACATTCGTTTTTTTCTCTTTTACAATAATTGTTTTTTGTTATAATTTTTATAAACTACTTTTTTTTAAATAAACATTTTTATGATTGTGTATTTTAATGAAAAGCAGGTATTGTTTTAGTGACTACTATTTTAAAAAAATGTTACCCATATAATTTTTGAAAAAAAAATATATTCTTTAAAAATTCACGCCTTAGAAGAATTTTTGAAAAAAAAAAATCTTTAAAAAATCAAAAAGAATTTTTGAAAAAAAATCCTTAAAAAAAATCCTCGCCTTTTCCTAGAAGAATTTATTAAAAAATATTCTTTAAAAAATCCACAACTATTTCTCTTAGAATTTTTAAAAAAATATTCTTTAAAAAATCCACGCCTATTTCTCTTAGAATTTTTGAAAAAAATATTCTTTAAAAAATCCACGCCTTTTCTCAGAATTTTTGAAAAAAATATTCTTCAAAAAAATCCACGTATATTGCTAAGAGAATTTTTGAAAAAAATATATATAAAAATCCACGTCTATTGCTAGGAGAATTTTTGAAAAAAATATTCGTTAAAAAATCTCTAAAAATTCATGATTAGTTAAAAGATTGAATAAATTAAAATATTCAATAAAACGCAATTTACTAATTTGTTTTGTTTTATTTATTATACAACAAAAAATACAATTATTTGTTTAGATATTTTATAAATAGAATATAAATTTTTTAATATTTTATAAAAAAGGACGGAATGTTTTTTTAATATTAATAAGTAGGCACATCGATGACAATCTCAAAAAAATCTTAAAATTCCCATGTTGATAACCATCTCAAGCTGTGCATTGAGGAATTCGAATTTGATGCCAGTGGTCCGGTCATTCCGTAGGCAAGTGGTGAAAACAATTTAAAACTATATGCCGCAATAGATAGAACGATAAAAAGCAGCGCGCCACGTATCTTTTGTGGCAAACGCCTAATGAGATAATTAAACATTACCCCAGTTAGCATTGAATTGAAGACAAGTGCCGGGAAGTAATGATGGAAATACAGTACCCGACCCATTATCCAAAAGGGATAATAATGGATAGCCCAACCAATGTATAACCAAACTGCCGCCGACATTAGGGTACGATCCTGCGTGTCATCTTTTTGTTCTGCGATATTTTGTTGCTTCGTTGCACTCTGCAGCAGCAGCAACTTTAGTTTACCCTCCTGACGTCGTTTTTTTATCTTCTTGGTTACGAATACGATTACAAACAAGTTCAAAAACACCAGATTGCTCCACCAAATGATGGGATTGCCCAACAAATATATGCGATAATCACTGCCGGAAAAATATTGTCCCCTGAAATTGATGGGCCATTGCCAGGGTCGACTTGTTGATTCCCCTTCCTTCGGTTTAAGGCCGGCATTACCTTGGAACATTACAGCATGTGATTCTAAGAAATTTGATATAAAACCGGGTGCATACACGCTCACACTTTCCGAAGTCAGTTCGCTATGCTTATTGTCTTCAATATTCCATTTGGCATGCGAATCGCGAATATTCAAATTGCATGTTATTTCCTGCTGTTCAAATCCCCACTTGGGCAATTGTTTTCCCGACGAACTTAAGGCACATCCTTGCAGATAGTGTACCAGTATAAATTGTGTTGTAACGGTATTGACGACCTCATTTGGTTTACCTCCGATAATTATGATTTTCCAAATGTCATTTATGTCGCCCATACCTTTCTCCCCATAGCCAGTAACCTGCATTTGTGATTTCGTAATGGGTGCAGGTTCAGCGTGGGAATGAAGATTTCGTCGGGTCTGTACGTGTTCCAGACGTAATAGATCTCCATTTTTCAGCAAAACCAAATTATCGGTCGACTCCCTGTCGTGAGGCTTAATGAGCCAGGCATTGTTTTCATCTTTGTGAGTATACGATGTGATCTGTTGTTGCTGGGAACCCACTCCTTTGGGATATAAATGTAAATGGGAGTGTAAATAGCCACCTCCAGTTTTGTGGTTCTTAATCGAGACCACACTACCGAACGCCACATCACGTGGCATACTGGCATTGTACAGTGAATTGCCAATAAGACGAGATTGAAATGCCGAACTGTAAAACCCATCACCATTTCCACTGTGGTTTAACAACTGCAAATGTATATAGAAGAATGTTAAGTACAAAGCAATAGGCCATACGATCAGACCCATTGCCCGACACCCCAACTGTTTAAGGGTTTCCCTGATGGGCTTATTTAAATCTCCGAGGATGCACCAAAGTTCCGTAATTGTATGAAGACCAACCAGCAACACAACAAAGAGACCAACAAATTTTACACTGATGGTACAGGCCAACACTGTGCCGGTGAAAAACAAATAACTCCACCACTTAAAGGTGTATGACTGACCGGCAGCGGTAACTTTGGAAATCTTCACCATACCCCAGACGGAGGCCATCATAAAAAACAAAAGAATTGGATCCAATAGAATATATTGGTTCAGGGTCAGCATACCAACATCGAATAAAATGTAAAATGCGGATAATGTTGCCGCTTCGAGGGATCGTGTCAAGTCGTGGACCGTGTCATATGCCATTGGTATAATTAGGGCACCAAGGGTGGTGCAAAAATAACGCATTCCTTCATAGTGGGTGCCATTGTATTTATCACCCGGTTTTTCGAAGGGGAATGTTCCATCGTAGCCCGTTAAGTAGCCTGACAGGGCGATTAGCATTTTTCCCAGCGGTGGATGGACGTCAAAGAAGAAGGTGCGATTTATATACCAACTGCCCATTTTTCCGAAATGAGTCTCATCCCAGCAAACATGATCCGGTTCCGTGACTTTATAATATCTCGTACAACATGTTAGAAGAACCACAATTGCAAACACCAGCCACCAGGAACGATTGTTGGAATTATTTGAAATTTTTGGAACTTGTTCATCATCATCGAATGCACCAGAAGATTTTTCCATTTTCAAATTTCTCACAAATAATACAAATTATTTTTGGAATACTTAAGTGATATCTCTCTTGGTTCAGAGAGATTGGTTATTCGGGATACATATATTGGAAGTCGGTTTAAAATCCAATAAATCGGTTGAATAGCTTCCAAATATGCATGCAGTCAGTCTAGTCTACAGAACAAGTGTGTCAATCGTATTCGCTCTGTAAATGCAGACGTCAAAAAAGGGAAAGTCAAATGGCACTAATTTTAATATGAACTAAAAATATGTAAATATGTTTGAAAAACACTTTTTCGAATAATAACAGAAAAACTCACGAACATCTGATGCAGAGATAGCTTCAAATTCGTTGGTATATTTCGGGATAGGCACAAAAAAGTCCCAGTATATAATAAAAATAAGAGATTAAGTCAAACAAAAATATTGAAAAAAAAAATAAGAAACGCCTAAACTACATAAACTACACAACAACAAAAAATAAAATCAACAGGTAAACCTGAGTTGGGTAGTTCCGGAACGAACTAGTTCATTGGAACTATTCCGAGAAAGGAACGAACGGAACTAGTTCCAGTTCTTTAATTAATATAATTCCTTTCTCTGATCCAGTTCCTTTTTTGAACTATTTGAAGCAAAGGAACTATAAAGAGCAAAGGAACTATATGGAGCAAAGGAACTATTTGGAGCATAGGAACTATATGGAGCAAAGGAACTATATATGGAAAAACGAAAAAAAAAATAATAAAAGAGAGAGAGAGATTCAAAAAAACAAAAAGAACAGTGGGAAGCCTCCAAGACTCCAGCCTTCGTAAAATTCGCTTGTTAATCGTCGTTCTGCCAAGACTCAAGCGACGTCGTACGCAAACCTTCGCCAACAAATGGTCTGTTCCAGTACTTTTTATACCCTCAACCATAGTATGGAGGGTATATTAATTTTGTCATTCCGTTTGTAACTCATCGAAATATTCATTTCCGACCCTATAAAGTATATATATTCTTGATCAGGGTAAAATTCTAAGACGATCTAGCCATGTCCGTCCGTCTGTTGTAATCACGCTATCTTCTGAAGGAATTTGGATAGGGTGCTGAAATTTTGCATAGGGTTGTCTTTTGTCTGCAGGCAGGTCAAGTTCGAAGATGGGATATATCGGTCCACGTTTAGGCATAGCTCCCATATAAGGGTACCCCCCAATTTTCGGTATTTTGGGGTTCTTGAGCGCGTTTTTCAAGCGAATTTGTAGTAAATGTATCCACAAAAAAATTTTTAAATATAGGTCCACTTTTTCTTGTAGCCCCCATATAACGGTACCTCCTAATTTTCAGTATTTTTTGGGTTTTTATCGTATTTTTCACCGAATTGGCTGTAATTTAGTATTTTGAGTTCTTAGCAGGTACCAAATCTCTCCACAAAAAAATTTAAATATAGATCAATTTTTTCGGATATCCCCCATATAAGGGTACCCCCCAATTTCGGTATTTTGGGGTTCTTGAGCGCGCTTTTCAACCAAATGCGCTGCAATTTTGTGCATTGGGTTCATATTGCGTACCAAATATCTCTACTAAAAATTATAAATATCGGCCCACTTTTTCTGGTAGCCCCCATATAAGGGCATCCCAAATTTTCGGTATTTTGAGGTTCTTACGCGCGATTTTCAACCGAATTCGCTGAAATTTGGTACAGTGGGTTCATATTGGGTACCAAATATCTCTATTTAAAATTATAAATATCGGTCCACTTTTTCATTTCAAATACCTGTCAGTATACCTGTGGTGGAGGGTATCCAAAGTTCGGCCCGGCCGAACTTAACGCTTTTTCACTTGTTTAATAGTAAAGCTAGTAAAAGGGAAACATTTCAAGTCTCAGAGTACAAAATAATTTGAAAAGTTCGGGAACGCAAATCTAGTAAATATGCCAAAATTAGATGCCAATACTTCAAAATCAACATAACAAAAAGTTTACAAAGAGAAAGCCATTTTGTTTTGTGCTCTCTTAAATTTGATTCAATGCTTTACCAGTTTTATGGGTTCAGGAACGGTTTTCGAGTAAAAAGTTGCAAAACTTGTAAAATTAGTAGATTCTTTTAGGTTCTGGAACGGAGCTAAAATAAAAACGACGACTGAAAAAATTGAAAAACATTCCACCTGCTAACGAATGGGAGGAGAAGACAAAATGGCCGATAAAGATGAACTCAAAATGGTATAACCGAAAGTTTACGAATGAGGTGGGATAGAGACTAAATGGAAACCGTGTTGTTTACGAATGAGGTTTAGGCAAATTATGATTAGGGATAAGTAAATCGACTTTCGATTAATCGACTTTTTGTATTGAAAAGTCTAATGCCATGTACAGACGAGCGTTGTTCCCTCTCTCATTCGTGGTTCGACTCTTAATTATGAAGTAATTACATAGTTCAAAGGAACAATTTTAAGGAACTAGTTCCTTTTTAAAAAAGAAACGAGAATGATCGATCCGCTACGTGAACTAGATTGCCCAACTCTATCAAAAACTAACAACTAGTGATGGCAAAACGATCGATAGTTCGATATTTTTTGTTGGTTTCAATCCTATCGTTAATAGATCTGTTCGTTTACTTTTTCAATTTCAATTTATTTTATAAACGAGAATCTAGCCCAAAGGGCCAAAAGCGATTCAAAAAACAACAAAATATAAACTACTCCAAAAGCTTAAAACTAACAGTGTATTAGCTTAATGTTATCTTAACGACTATTCAGTTGGAGGGTTTCAGAACCATTGTACTTCAAAAACATTTTTATTATTATTATTCCATTATTTGATGCAGCGACCTATCACATAGGGCAAAGGACTTCAATATTATATCTACTCTCAACCACTAAATTAAATTTACAGGTTCAAATATCTTATTATTATATCACAATTATCAATAAAAAAAAAATATAATATATTATAGTTAAATTTATTTAAATGTTGAAATCAGTTATGCAATAAAAACACAAACAAATAAGCAAAACCTATGAATTTAAGATGAATTGAGGTTGAAGTAATCGTATAAATGAGTTCGATAACATTTTAAGGAAGAGTTAAATGTTTTAAGAGAAGGCGGTAAGGTGTTAAAAATTCTAGAAATTCGTACAAAAAAGGCTTTTTCCAATAAAGGACACAAACGCGGAACAAGTATTTGTATGTTTCTAACAGATCTAGAAAACATAAACAAATCAACTACAGAGGAAGGAGTCTGCAACTTAAATACCTTATAGAACAACAACATTGACCTTAAACTCACAAAACTTTCAAAGGTACAACCGAGGAACTCTTTAACGTAAGGAGAAATGTGATCACGACGTTTACACAATATACATATCATCATAACTAGTTTGTTCCCCGACTGAAAGATTCTATTAATTTTTAAATTTTTTCAAATTTATAAAGAAAAATTGTAATCGTAATAAAAATTTTGGCATTTATAAAATGTATTCCATTTGTAACTACTCTGATCCAACTGTTGTAATCAAGATATCTTCCAACAGAAATGAAATTGAGCAAATTGGAATATGGTCTGCACTTCTGCTGGCTGTTTAAGTTCGAAGGTCTATAGCAGTCCATGTAATGGTAGCCTCAATTTTGGGTATTTTGAGAACTACTGATACGTCTTTAACAAAATTGGGTCTAATTTGACATTTTCATACCAAAAACAAGTAAAAAAGTGTCAGTCGTTGTTGCCGACAGATATATACCCTCACCCTATGGCTTTTGGAGGAGGTATTCGGAGTAATACACAGGTTTTATTATTCGTTTTATATAAGATATATGTTTAATTAAAGATGTTTAGGATTTAATGTTGATAAAATATGTAAAATTGACCCTTTTTATAGGAAGTACCAGAGGAGGAGGGCAGACGGGACTCACATTCGGGCTTGATCTAGGCTTGGTAAAGATAATAGTTTGTGCAAAATTTGGTTCAAATCGGACTTTCATTCGCCTGATATTGGATTTATAAATATTGAAAATGTTGACCATTTGTGTGGGAGATACCACATGGTATTAGGTTGTACAAAATTTGGTTCAAATCTGACATTGAATTGCCCTGATATTTGATTTATAAATACTGAAAATTTTGACCCTTTGTGGGGGAGGGACCAGAAGGAGTAGACCAATGGGTCCCATCTTCCTACTTGGTCTAGGCTTGACAAAAATTGTACAAAGATTCGTAAAAATCGGATAGCCAGTTTGAATGTTATTATATAATTAATTTTAGCACAATTTTTACCATTTGTGGGGGAAGTACCAGAAGGACCGATAATCCCCACCTTCGAACTTAAACTAAGTTTGTAAGAAATATTAAGATGTGCAAAGTTTAGAAGAAATCGATTATTCCCTTCGAGAGTGTATACACCCTTATTAGTCATAAGACTGAGGGTATAATTATCAATACCGGTCCATGTTTTTTCATACTAAGTATGCGGAAGGAGGTTATGTTAGTTTTCATTCTCAAAAAGCCGCACTTTGCTAATGATCATCAGGTTAGGTGAGGATGTGAGATTGTATCGATGGCTATAGAGATCAAACAGAAAATATATTACGTGTCAAGGTTGCACTTTTCCAACCACTTTAGGTTTCAAATGATTAGATCAGGTTACGTTGTTGAGGAGAAACAAAGACTCGGTGGAAAGTGAGCATCCACTAGTCTGAAGGCCAGGACTGGGCAGCGACACAGTCATCAACTGTATGTTGAGATCCTCATCTAGCTAATTCGTCTGCTCTTTCATTACCAATGATATCACGGTGTCTTGGTACCCAAAACAGCCTATAACTGTATAACTGTACGTGTCAAGGTTGCACTTTTCCAACCACTTTAGGTTTCAAATGATTAGATCAGGTTACGTTGTTGAGAAGAAACAAAGACTCGGTGGAAAGTGAGCATCCACTAGTCTGAAGGCCAGGACTGGGCAGCGACACAGTCATCAACTGTATGTTGAGATCCTCATCTAGCTAATTCGTCTGCTCTTTCATTACCAATGATATCACGGTGTCT